TTTATTATTCCATAATTTGATAACGTGATCAATAAACTAACATTTATCAAGATCATGCACTTACAACCAGGTGAGGCACCGCCAAGACAAGTCTCTTTTGCAGAGAAGACCTGGCTCTGTGGTGGTTATGTGAGGGGGGGGGGGCGGTGCCGCTTATGGTGTTCCTCCGCAGGAGCCATGGCCTGACACTGTCATCTGAGCATGTTCCAACTACAGTGCACCAGCACTCGCTCCAGCCAGAACTTGACAGAAAATTCCACTCTCGAGCAGAGGTCGCAACCGGGTACCCGTACCCTACCCGATACCCGGCCGGGTACGGGTAGCCGGGTATCGGGTAGGGTACGGGTACCCGTTTGCGACCCTGGTGCGGCCGGGTACGGGTAAGGAATCAAAACCCGTTTGCGACCTCTGCTCTCGAGTGCTTGGTTAATGTCCAGGTGTGCGAGTGGGGAGGTAGGACTATCATTGCTGCCAGCAACCGTTTTTTTGCCAGGCTTTTGCAAAACCAGCATGATGGGGAGTTGGAGCGAAATGCGCCATTATAAGTCAGGGCAGCGTTCGTGCCACACTCACCCTCCGGGTCCAGCTGCTTACCCGAGTGTCTCATTTGTAAAAAACCTCGGCAGACTGTTTGCTTTGATATGTCTGGCTCACGATATACAGAAGACGTGTGATGTTGGCATGCATACCTGTCACATGCATATATGTGAACCTGTGCAGTCCTCGACTTACGAGGACCTTAATAAAAAAAAACAATTTCGCCTTAAGTTAATTCAAGGTGTGCCCACCCATCTCTAAGTGTGTTTGGGTGCCTCTTTACGACTTGAGTTTTTTGCTGTTGGATACAGTGCTGTAGGATGGCTTTCAATAAAAGTTTATCGTAGGTCCAGGTATAATCTGCATTACATAGAATATAATTTCTAATCTACCTGAGTGCCTGGCACTTTAAAGATGGCGCAGTGGTAAAATTGCGCCTTGGATGACGACAGGCCTGGGTTTTATTCCAGACTCCTGTACCTTTTCTGTGTTGAGTTTGTATGTTCTCCTGCTGTTCTGCATGGGTTTATCCAGGTTCTCCAGTTTTGTTCATGGCGAATATAAAAAAACCCCAGTGTAACTGCTCTTGGCCAAACATTCCAATGCTGACAAAATACCTTAAATGATTGAATTGGGATCACACAGCAATATTGTCCTCTTCCTGAAAAGTATTGACACTCCAGAAGGATTTCCTGGGTAAATAAGTGCAATAATAATAAAAACAACAATTATTTAACATAGAGCCAGTGATTGAGTGTTATCATGTGTTGGTGGGGTCGGTGGTGACTCATTTCGCAATAAAAATGTGTAGGTTTTTGTTGAAAAGTGTGCAAATGCTTCGTCTAAACTTTTAATGCTTTCATTTTTTTTTCAATCAAAAATGATATCTTGTTTGCCAGTCTTACTTTAAAATCTATCCAAATCCTCAGGTACGAATTAATATAATGTTGGTTTCTAGAAAAATAATCCTTACATTTGTATTCCTTCCAGGCGTGTCTCTAACACTTGCTTCCCCCACTGCTTAACCTTCTGTATAGATCACAACATCAGTTATATAGTATGAAATTGCTATACCTTGTTGCAGCATAAGACAATCCCAATAGCAATAGATGTACCTATACAACAACTGCAACATTTTTGCCATCTAAAATAAAATATAAAACAATTCCCTTGCCTAGATCCCAATATAATAACATGACAGTATTTTTTGTCAGTAATAGGCTTATATGGTCTTTAATTTGGCAGCAAAGTCTGGTGGTTTTAATTACATTTTACTGCAATAATTCCATTTTAAACGAAATAATATCTACGAATATTCAAGCTCGCAGCAAACTTTCTTACATGCACAGCTTATGAAATAGCACATGCAATCTGGAAAATAATTCCACACGTGTTTGCAAATAAAAAGCATCCCGAACTGGTCATCCTGTTGGTCAGAGGTGGAGACTCGCCCTGACAGATGTTGTAAGGAACACAACCAGTCGCAGTGTTGTGGGAGTTGCAGTTGCAAGTGTTACGCTTATAGGGTGCTGCTTGAGTTTGGGAATGTAGCTGTTGGAGCTGCTGTTTAATTTAGTCACACTGTTTGTATGTCTGCTCTTGGCTGCCACTAATACCAAATGGCAGCGTGAATTGTATGAGATTTCCTGCCACTAATCTACACTCTATTTAGCTGCTGGAAGTCAAAGCAATTAACAGCTGTAATACAGGTGTCAGTGACTTTTCCATGTTAGGGGGTGTTTATTGGAATCATTACTCATGAAGGCTGCCGATTGACTTTTTAGTCAAATCAGCTGTTACAGAACTAAGCCTAGTTGATAACTTGAGGATCCGATAACTATATGTTATTTCTTTCTGTTTGTAATTTTCTCTGATTCTTGCATTACGTAATTTCTACGGAAAAATCTTGTGCAATCTGTTTTCATTGCGTGGTTAACTGGCCTTGGTGTTGGTCCACTAAGAGTTAAACGCATCGCAAACATTTGCAAGACATCTCTATAGGTGTAGAAAGTTCAGACAGAGAATAATAAAATATAAAGTCACTCAACCTGCTGGCAGTTATTGCCCATGTTAACGATTAATGGAAAAGCACTGGAAGAGTTTGTGGGAACGTGTCAGGCATGATGCATGCCACATTATTTTTGCCCCCCACTCAACTTGCGACAAATCTCTCTCAGGAAGCGAGGGCCCAACAGAAGAGGCTTTCTTCTTGTGGAGAAAAATATGGCCTTAATTATGCTATGAAAACGAGCATTGCTGATGGCAAAAGTCCAGACTTTGTTCTCAATACTCAGTGATTCTGAATCTGCATGCAAGTGAGAATAAGCATTTTTGGTCCAAGAGGGGAGGATGACACATTAGTGAAACTCTGAAATCTGATGGGACGTTAGATGGCCAGGAGATTACAGCAATGGGTTTTGAATCTACTTGAGTATTAACGCTGTGTACGTATGGGTTTATATAGATACTCTAGTTTCCTCCCTTGTGCAAAACATTAGTTAATGGGATTCACCAATCTTGAAGCAGAATTATTCTGGAATAGTGTCCGGATACTTGAGCCTTGTTGAATAAATAAATCTATGCCAATCCCTGACCAATTGCTATACTTATAAAAGGTCATTTTCTATGACATTTTGGACGGCTTAATATCAATGCAGCTGTGCCACCCTATGAAATTGCAAGCATCTTTTTGAACGTCTGTTCTTGTTTGTCTATTATGATTTATGCCAACTCTACTCACCTCGACTCCCTTCACAAGAGTACACATTAGCCATGAGTGGCATATTTAATGGTATGATGTTAATAACACTAGATTTAACAGTAACATTTCCAGCATTTAAATGCGTGTTAAAAGTTAAGAACTATTTGAAAAATCACTTGATTCCACTTTAACGGTGACAGCTGCAGTGATAAAAAAGGCTAAGAAACCAATATAGGCTTAATGGTACATTCAAATGGAGATGCATATTTTAGACCAAAATGATGCCCCATTGCGCTAGAAAGCTATGTTGTTGTTCTTGCACACAGGATATCCCAGTCAACACTGAATATGTAGTTTACACTTTGGAGCTTAGCATCAACAAAATAATCGTGGACCTTTGTGGAAAGCCCAAAGGTTTTACCCAGCTGTACAGAATCGATTTTATTCTGTGTGCATGTGGTTTTTATTCATTGGTTGATATAAAAGCAATGTGTGGCAGGTAGGCCTAGGAATGTAGCTGAACATATGTGGCCTCATGTTTGCCGATTTTGTTCCACAAATGTAATGTGGAATTTTTATACTTAAAATTGTTTATTCATTTAGTTCAGATGTACACGTCTTTGTGTTGCGTGTGTATGTGGCATAATGTAAATTAAGATGTGTTTGACTTGAAGCTCATTCCTCAGTATTTGGTATTATAGTATTAACGTTTTTTCTCCAAATGAGAACACTGCTGTGAAACTTAGATTTCTGTGTACTTTCATATTCCCTTTACTAACACATAATTTAAATTAGACGGGTATGTCAAATACTTTCGCTAACCTTTTGAGGATGATTTTGATGTCAAACTTGTTCTTTTAAACTATGTCGGCATCAAGAAAAAAAAAATCTTTGTATAAACATTTTTTAATGGATGTCGAGAAAATGTGATTGTCAATTTGACAGGTAATTTGTGACTCCTTTGCATTTTGTACGTATATGTTGCGTACGCGGTGTGCGCATATCCGTTTTGTGGAGTGCGTAGCAGCATTGTTACCTGAACCCAGGTGAACACCCGAGTTTGATTCTTGGCCACGGTTAGCATCAGTTGGCCTTCAATGAATACACCAAAACCTTGCCCATTGCGGGGTTTACGATCTTGCTAAATAGCCGCAATGTGGAAATCCACGATCTGCAAACGCAAAGGCATATAGGAAACTAGGGTTTGGTTTATGGTTCGTAATAACCCAAAACATGAAATAGGAAGTATTTTTTAATTTGTACGGTATTGTATACCTTAAAGTAAACCTGAAAATAAAGAAGGTTAATGACATGCCCAGTACATATGCAGTTTAAGGAAGAACAAGGTAAAATACTTGCTTGCTATGAATGATGATGATGGCGTGTGTATTCTTCCATAGAGCATCATCGCGAGCAGTACAGTTGGAGTGCACAATTTTTTTAGATGCGTTTTTTACGGGAATCTCAGTCAAAACGACGAATAATCTAGCCACAGGTGTGCGATCGGCGAACCGTACCTCAATACATTTTGCGCAAATAGTCAAATCTACGATGGGAAAACCCGCGATGGGCAAGGTTTTTATGTACATGATAGTGTAGAAACATCATCACTGGGGAGACCAAGAAAGACAAGTGTCGTGCTGGCCAGATGAACACCTTGTACGCCGCCACTTTTAAGAGGTGCCCACCTACAGAACCTGCCCCAATAGTCTATGTAGCTGACATGGGGGATCTTTGTCTTTGTGTGTATGTTGACATGAAGGCACGTGGCACGCATTTACAGCATGCATCCCAAGGAGACGTCTCGTCAGCTGGGACTGGCTGTGAAGGATGGCCTGATCGTGGAGACGATGACTGTCGGCTGTAAGGGCTCCAAGCTGGGCATTGAGCAGGAAGGATATTGGCTTCCTGGGGAGGATAATGTAAGGAACTCGCCTCTACTGCCTTTCTACAACTACATTTCTTTGTTCAGCAAACATTTATCTTGCATTCACGTCTACCAAATCTCCCATTGTCACCCAAACAACCTGATGAGAAATTGTGTGTGTGTGTGTGTGTATATGTGAGCTTTGTGTCTATTCCTCTTGTTAATTGTCAAGTCGGCTGGGCTTTCCTCACCGTTATCGTCAGACAATGTACCGCTGAATAAAGACCTGTCCAAGCCGGCACCACCATCTCTCATGACCTTGCGCTATAACTATTCGCCTCGCAACCTGCACACGAACTGATTTCATTGCTCCCCCCCCCCCCCCCCACTGTCGTAGACGTCCTGTCGGGCACGTTCCCTCCCTTGGTTGCCACTCCATCGTTAGTGTCGACCACCGGCCATCATTCCTTCTCGAAAAGTATCTTGCCCAGGTCCACATTTGTTAACAGTCAAAATTATGTCTTTAACCTAACTGTTTTCCAAACCAAGTGTCCCTCATTCTCAATTTCCAAGTGTGTATTTATTCACACTTTCGCATTTTGTTTCATTTTCTTAATCTTATCCATTTGCCATAGCAGGGTAATATGCACTGTTTGTTAACTTTTTGTACAAGACTTATTTTGCGCATTCATCTTGAGCAAACTTTTGTAGCAGACATATCCACAACTTAATTCCTATTGCACATTACAATGATTGTCGTCGGAAAATATGAAATGGTTAATATTGTCTAATATTTATGTATTTGTCCAATCCAATTTCCTGTGCTTATTAAACTGTCGCTAATGTCGATTTGGATTGCATTTATTTGAGTTGAAAAACAATGAGTTATGGCAGGGGTATCACAGAACAATGTTTTGAACCACATGATATTAAGCTGTGTTTGCAAATTCTCTCATGATTGTATAAAATGTGGGGAATATTACATAACTCCCTTTGCGCACCGCCTTGGAGTATTATATTGAATAAATTAAACATTGTTGCTTTCCAAAAGAAGACCTTGCTGTTGTTGAAACCCAAAAGGGGCAATTCTGTTGCAGTTTTCCTGCTTGGATCCTTGCCAATTTAGCTGATGGCCTGAACTACATTTAACGCTAAATTTGGAGTGGCAGCATTACTAGATTTTTTTTATATATTCAGAACATTAAACATTTGTGATGGTTTTTTTTATATTAATACTCTGAAATTTCATTGTTTTGGTTTGAAAATTTTCATCGTCCAAATGTTAGGTTTGCCTTGTTTATCTAACAAGGCGGTTATTAAGGTGATAGGGTGGCTCAGCGGGTCAGACTGCTGAGTTGTTACCTTCCTGAGGTCCTGGGTTCAAGTCCAGGCAGCCTCTAATGATTTCAACTAGGATCTCGAGTGCCAAAATTTATTGTCTCATTTCAGTCACCAACGGCAACACACACACACAAAAAAACGATCTCACTAATGTGTTTTTTTCTACACTCAATTTGGCAAATTTCCAGCAACTCGTAATAATTTAATTAGTTATTTGACTGTCAGCATGACGAACATTACTCTTGGTGGCAGGGTGGGTGAGAAAGTGCTGTGGGGTTACATTAGGGGATCTGAGAGGTAGCTCTTTAATAGCAACTTCTGTGCAAAATTCTCTAACACGAAGGGTTGAATTGCTCTTCTAGAGATCTGAATGTATACTCTGTCTCATGACATGACCCAGATAGGACTTTTGAATGAAGAAAACAAATAATAAAAACAAGGCAATGAAATGCATCATCTTGTTTATTTGAGTTAATTGCGTCATGTTTTCTTACGAGTGTTGATTTCTGCATTTCTATTTTAGAAAATATACAGTTTATAACAGGTGGGTATACACGTTTCTGGCCAGCCCAGTTCGTCTAATCTCTGGTGAAACCTAGTTGTATTACAAGGTGTAACTTTCATTGTAGCAGCCATACCTTTGTCGTATTTTTTAAATTCCTCATTTAAAAGTAGATATTTTTTTACATGGCAAATAAATCTCAAGTGACTTCCTGATTATCGGTTTTGAATTCTCACCTAAAATTAGCATGATGTTATGGCAGCCAATGAGAAATGACAGCGGTTATTGTGAACTTAGGAAAGACTGGGCCATGTTAAACTAAGAGACAAGTCAGGAGATGCATGTATAGACATGTAATTTAGAGGCATCGTGACTGGGGTGTAAAAACAGCTAATCTCTGATTCCAGTGGCAGGTGGGGAGCGTGGCATTTACATACTTATTTTTGTGTTTAGTTTATTGTCCTTTCCCCGCACCTCCGATTAGCATGTTTGGCTACATACGGTGCGAAGGAAGTTCAACATACCTACATACATTTGTCATCTGGTAGCCCGAAGAGGAGGAGACGAGCGACTGGTACTGCTTTGAGTGCCACCAAGCTGGCGAGGTGCTTGCGTGCGAGAGCTGCTTCCGCGTGTATCACCCGCGCTGCGTCCCGAGCGAGATGGTGCCCGGCGATGCCGACACGCGCTGGGCCTGCCCCATCTGCCAGGTCCTGTCACGCACCGCATGGTCCATCACTGGCCCAGCGCCGTACCACTCATTTGCATGCAAAACGCCAGCGCCGCCCTCTTACAGCAGACGAGTCTGTCCATTAATGTGGTCAGATCCAATTCATTCTTCACTGGTTCGTTGAATGAAAGTCATGCTTATACTCGCAATCAATTATTCAAATGTTGCTTGTAAGAATTGTTTTCAGTTTATGCGAACGATCCTGCACATTTTTACTTGTCCAAATAAATGACAACGTAAGACCTTGCATGCAAAACACTAGCGCCGCCCTCTTGCAGCATATGGGATGAGTCTGTGCCCATTAATATGATTGGATCCAATTCAATCTTCACTGGTTCGTTGAATTAAAGTCATTCTTATGCTCGCAATCAATTCCTCAAATGTTGCTTGTAAGAATTATTTTCAATTTATGAGAACGATCCTGCACGTTTTTACTTATCGATCCAAATAAATGACCGTAAGATGTGGAGTTGACAGCCGCAAGATACGAAATATTTTATAAAATAGACTGGCAGTTCACACAATGTGCAATAAATGAGAGGCAAAGAGTAATTGAGAAAGATCATGAAATGATACAGATGAAGCAGAGTGCATTCACAAGACCCCAAATTCTGCCAATCTGCTTAAATGGGATTGGAGGGGGTTAAATTCTTACATACCTTGTACATTACTACATGGTATGCGTTCACATTAGGCATAGCCATGTTGCTGCTGGTCACGTGGGAAAATACCAATCGCATCTTGTTTTATCACCTCAACTGAGTGATCACTTAATTGCAACATCTCTTTGGTCATACAGTATTTCCAATTTATAATGTAATTAATTGATTTGAGAAAAAAATAAAGCGGTGAATTGACCCACATTGTACCTTTTGGTGGACGTAACTTTTGCCAGCCTCGCACCATCTCACTACCTCGCCACTTGCACAAAATGACGGCTTTCTGATTGATCGGTTCTCGAAAGGCAGGTGCTGCTGTGTGGAGCTGGGAAATGCCATCTGAGCTGCCGTTCTCCCTTGGTTGTTATTTGTCATTACCCACAGCACCTCGTAAATGTCCCTGCCCTATGGGACTGTCAACTGTCACTAATGGGATCATTCTTGTTGTATGTTATACGCAGAGTTTCAAGCAGCGGAATTGGCCCAAACAGGAGCTCTGCACTTATCTCAAGTTTGTGGTACAGCGCATGAAGGAGAAGGTGAGAACTTTGAAATCCTAGTCACTCGTTTGTTCATGACTGTGGGGGCCCCTTGTGAATAATATTTGCAGTTTTAACTCCATTTTAAATATTCTTCGTGATTTGTTTTTGGAAGTGGGCCACATTGTATGAACGGCTTTGGTAACGTTGAAATAATTTCTATCCCAGTTGGCGCCAACGCAACGATCACATTGACACATTGCTAATCTTTCTGTGCAGTTGCTCTTTATTTTTGAAAAGCATTAAATTATATTTGCGTCATTGGCAGTGCTTGACAGTTTTGTATTTGGCAGAATATTGCGTTCTTTGGGGTGGTATATGTTGGGAAAGGTATTCGGGCATGAGAATGGAGGGTGGGGAATAGCTAACAGAAATTCCCTTTTAATACGACGACCAGCGCACCAAGCATCATCTATTCTAAGAAGCCACTGCTTGCGTGACATTTTTATTTACAAGGGGGCCCGGCCCTGCTTATGACCAGTAATGCTTTAGGTGGTACAATAATGCATGGCACGGGGACGATTGCTCACGAATTAAATGTCAACTCCGCTTACTATCGTGTGTGTTTGTGGATCCCGAGAGCTTGACATTAAGAGGTTTCCCGCTGTATTTTCAGTCCTCAGACATCCACCAGAAGGTAAATGAAATGCTGCACCCCCTTGCAGCCACATTATTTGGCTTCATATTGCTGTGTCTGATGGTTAACCCCTTTTCACCTACTGCATTACAGTGAAACCTGTGTAATTGCCAGGCCAAATCAACTTACCAAATCTAGGGGGGTTGATGGAAATCTTTGTATACGCATTGAGTGGTTTACTTCTGTACTTTTAGCTACACCTGACTCCGTCTTGTTTTGGTTGGTCCCTGTTTTAACCCATGAACAAAAACAGAAACACTCATGAGTGAAATATTCTATGCCTGTGTCATTGTCTTTAATTTGGGGTCTGCAGCTGTGACAGAAATTGGCTGGAAAATGTAAAAAATGTTATGCTAGTGTTTAGCCATTCCTGAATGCTTTCCTTGGCCAAATGCCATGTTGCTGAGCTGGAATTGATTTCTGGGAGCCCAGGTGCCATGAGGCAATCCTTGGCATATATACGATGATATAATGGTGGACATTTGGGTATCTCATCCTTTTGGTCTTACGATCTTTTGCAGTGCTTTTCTAGCACTTTACACAACTGTTATCCATACCAGCTGCAGTGTTTATAAGCTGAATCTCTAACATTGTCACATTTCCATCATCCTTTATTGCAGAAAAAATATTTCTGGCAATAATTTATGCTTTTGTTCTGCATCAATATATTATCACCATACTTTGGCTTTAAAGGCTTTTAAAAGTGTAGGTAAGGGCAATACTAGTTGGTGTGGATATGATTAAACAAGTCTGCCTCTTGAACTAACGTCATAAACTATTTGCAATCTGAAATGTGGCTTTGAACTTGGGTTGCTAGTCTACCAGGCAGCATGTTGGTATTGGGAACGATATGAATCAACCATTGGATTTGTGCAGAGTTTATTTTTTGTGAAATTAATTCGCAACCAAAAATCAAAGCCTTCAATTTTGAAAATGGGTACGCATTTACGAAATTGTCTAACAAAAGTTGTTTATCTGGAATTTAACAATGTTCTTTCATTAAACATACTCTTTACTAGCATCCCACATCACTTTTTCCACTTGGGAGCTCATTGGCCATTTACTAACATTATTTCCACACTGCTTTCTGTGCTGCTCACAATGCATTTAAATGCATAATGGTTCACTTATGCCTTGACCAAAGACAATGAATGTTACTTCTAATGGAGAGAAAATTACACATTTTCACTAATTGTCCACAACACAGAAAATAAATGCAGCGAAGTGTAGTTTCAGCATCGCAGTAATTTTTTTTAAAGGAACACAGAATACACAAATTTAAAACGCACACGACAGTTGGCAGCACGCCACCCATTGGTGCGGATGGAGGCTTTAAAATAACAGAATCAAAAACTGTTCCCTTCCTGTGCGTACATTTCTGCAGTTACGGATGGGCGGATGTGCTGATTTCCCAACGCTGGGTGAAACTGTGGCCAACCAAAGCGTAGGGGGGCATGTGTGGGGGGAGGGTCGATAAACTGCAGTTGCATCCACACTTTTGGCTTAAGTGAAAAGTTTAATATTCTTTGTTCTGAGAGGCGGTAAGTGGGTCCTGAAAACAGGTGGGTGCTATATGCGTACAGACATTTTCTTGACACAGGTTTCACAATTTTTTATTTGTATATATCACTTCCCTCCGTAAGATATTTTGGCAATAGAAGATATCATTTAAAGTTTGTTTTTTGGGAAAAATGTGGTTCAGCCTGCATCATGTTTGTCTTATGGACACTTTAATGGATCCATGACATTTGGTCATATTTGCCTATATTTACTGAAATTTCATGAACGAGTTGTGAAATATACACTACTCTTAAATACATTTCATTATGTTTAGCATGTGTGTTACTTATGTTGTAGTTATAAACTATGCGAGAGGGATTTTTTTGCAAGTAATATTGTATGAAGTGTATTTGCATTTAAGCAACAACGTTGTATTATTACCTGTATAAAAACCATGTTTCAGATTGTATAAGGCTGCATAATAAGTAACACAATGCATAAATAGTACATTGTTCTAACTATTTATAACATTCAAGAACAATTTCTAAATTAATGCGCTAAAGAGCATACATTGTTTATTGCGATGACCTAAACGTGTGTTAACTTGCAAACAGTTTATCCTGTAAAGGTCCATTATGCCAAATCGATTTTAACATCACAGACGCAGGTGTCACAAGGAATTTATCTTTTACTTTACATTTTTCTTTTTGACCTTTTCAGTTCCATACATAATTTGTCAATGTACCCTTTATTCCATTCTGTGATCATTCCCTTCTGATTTGCACAATACCTTTACCCCCACTACCTGTTCAAAAAAAAGTAAGCACGGCGACTTCGGCTCGTCTTTTCTGCATGCCGATTCACTTTGGGCCCCCAGAGCGCAGATGGCACCAGCAGCAGCAGCGATATGGCTGTGGGTAGCATCCCCCCACCCCCAACACCCCTCTGTCCCTGCCCACTATGTCTTCCCAAGCCCTAACAGTGCTCGTGGCTGTGTGCAGTCCCCAGACATTTACAAGAAGGTGAACGCCACAGGCCACCCGCTGTACAGGCGGCTTGTGCACACGCCGATGGACCTGTGCTCCATTCAGAAGGTAACCATGCAGAGTTGCCTGCCTTGCCTGCCTGTCTGCCTGCCTTGCCTTCACAGGTTGTTTGGCCTGCAAAGTGGGACGCTCGTTGCCGTTGCAGGAAGGAAGTTGTGTGTGTGTGTGTCATTTTTTGGTGACATGGTCTGACGTGCTCTTTGGTTCTTTCGGCAAAGTGACGTACATAGAAAATTAATAGATCACGACGTTTCGATCGCAACACAAGCAACCGTCATCAGGTGAGACAAACAGAGCAGGAGAACTGCTGACGCGTCACCTGATGACGGTTGCTTCTACGTGACTTTACCGAAAGAACCAAGAATATGATAACTTACGTTGGATCTTGTGTAATTGGTTGACATGGCTGCTGCCCATGTGTTTTCATTGAGCTGCTTGCAGTATCGAGGCGAGTGATCGGAGTATTTAGAGAACATCTGCTCCTCACTTTGCTTCTGTCAAGCAGTTCCTGTGTAGTGGGGTTAAACATGGAGCACCTTGTGTCCTGATTGAGAGCCAGATTCAGAGGTGATGGTGTCAGAATATGGTTGCCTTTTTTAGCAGTGGCTTGAGAATCGATGTAAGGTGATGGCCTTGGTTGTTGTGCCCTGCGTGTGCGCTCATGACTCGTGCTCTTGCTTCAGAATGTGGAGTTATGCAAGTATCGGACGGTGGATGAGTTCCTGAGTCATGCACAGCTCTTGCTGCATAACGCCGTGCTCTTCTTTGGAGGTGTGAACAGGACATTTGTCACTTTTCTTTGCTTGGGATTAAGTTAACATAACCTCGCAGCGTGTAAACTACAGACACTGCTTACCCATATATGGTCCAGCTTTGTACCAATCTACAGATGACGCACGTACACATTTTGTTTGCTATGGATGTAAATTAATGTATTTTGTCCCTTACGTATGTTACTACATTTACATATACAATTTCTTGCTTTGCTTTGGTTTATTAAAGGTGTTCTTGTGTGCCATATAGTTCATTGGAAGTGTATTTTTGTTATGAATTAAACACTACTCGTGTCTTCTGCAACAGAAATAAGTCCTCAGGCTGAAGTGTCCAAAATTCTCTACCGGGACACAAAGCATGAGGTGGGTGTGCTTGGTATTCTTGTTCACTTTTCCTGCATTAGCTGAAAGTAGTTTGTTCACCCATGTGTAATACGAGAGTTCATCGCCGATCAGTGGGATAGGCTCCGCCGCCTGGGCCATCAACCAATCAGAGGGATGAGCCGAAGTTTGGGGCGGAGCTTAAAGGCTCTGGGGAGTAACCATCTAGAAGGGTCGTGAGGGGGTGTGGCTGTAGGCAGGGCTTGGTGACGTAGGTCAGGAGATATTAGGGAAAGCGGAGGAGAGCTCGTGGTCAGTGTGTGGAGTCGGAGAGCGGGACCACGTCTCGCGCTTCCGGAACGCCAGCCGCCACGTGGCGGGCCGGAGGCTTCCTCCTTGCGAGCCGCCTGTCAGCGGCGCGCGGGAGCGGGAGAGGTTGTGAGCGAGCTGGCAACATCTAACCACGTGGGAATGGGAGTGCAGCCATGTCAGAGTGAAGAGTGCGGAGCTGTGCAGCTGTGAAGGAATAAATAAATAATAAAGAAGATACAAGTTCCAGATTGTCGTCGCAGTGGTGTATTACAATGTATGAATGTAGCAGATTGTCTCTGAAGATGCTGTAAAGATCCATACACGCTTTAGCCAGTCCCACCTTTATAGCTAACAGAGCTGCTTATATTCTACCAGGAAAACCACTGCATTGTTAGAATATCGGAAACTTTTCTCAAGTGCGCCAGAATTTTGATGTTCAACAGCAAGGCGTAAGGTTAACAACTGGTTGCTTCTAACCAAATGTGCATGGCAGCTTTCCCTGTGAACTAGTTCATAGTTTAACTAAATGGGCCCCATGTCCAACAGTACAGGATCCAGTTCAGAAATATATTCATATAGCACTTAAATAATGTCCATTAGCAGTGGTGTTAAAGCTAGGTATGAAAATATATACCACAAGCATTGCCTTCGAACTATCTAACCAATAAATGTAATTGTTTGTTTGTGTTTATGTCTGTGTGTGTGCGTCCGAAACTTGCAAAGGATTTGGCTCGCAAACCCGTGGGGTTTACGTAAAAAAAAATAGCCAGGTACCATGCCGTAAGCCCCGTGGTGAGCCAGCGCTGTTTTCCCATCCGTCAACTTTAAAGTAGTAAAATTAGCGATTTTGTGCTGTTTACATTTATTTATTAAATAGCACGCGATCGACCGTACCAACTCGCACGCTTTAGGTCAGGGGGACGGACCCTACAAAGTTACACGCGTTCGCATGGGGTGAGGGGGACTTTTCTTTTGCGTTTAAAAATGCAACAAAAAATACACAACGCTGAGGTAAATTCTTCACAGTGTGATGTCCCCCCCCCACCTCGATGCGTGCAGTTACTGCTATACAGTCGGTAGATGCTTCCACTATCGGCCATAGATATTACTGCAGAGTGGGCAGGGGGATCGTGGCTGGGGGGGGGGGGGGGTAGCAGCCCAGCCCCAGCCTGCCAAGGTGCCACCTCGGCCGGCTGGGCAATCTAGGCGAGGCCGGGGGCTCTGCATGGGACTAGGCCTCACCACAGCAATGTTAAGCACTATTTCCTTGCTTTCGTTCAACTCGCATAGATAGAAACCTATTATTTAAATAATCACCTTGCAAATAATAAAATAATTGTTTCTGTGCAGACAACTAATATTTATATGTCTTGCTTCTTTCGCTATCGTCACGTACATAGAAAACTATTATTATAAAAATAAGTTTGGAAATATTAAATGATTAATGTTTGTGTGCTGACAACTAATGTTTCAAAATGAAGTTGCGAAATATTAAAATATTAATGTGTTTTATGAAGCTGTGCCAGTGTACTGGGAGTCTGTAATGTGGCCTGTTGGCTGCTTATTAATGAAAGTCAGTGCACTAGCAGTCTATTATCTACACTGCAAATATTGCTATTGGGCAGGGTGAGTGTATGCCAGTCTATAATCTGTTTCCTGCTTCTTTACCTCGGTCAGTGTACTTCCAGTCTTTCATGTAGACTGTAGCCTGCTTTTTAAGCTGCTGACCGTATTGCCAGCTTATTATGTCGACTGTAGCAATGCTTCTGTAATTGAGTCCGCGTACACGCAGTCTATACTCTAGACTGTAGCCTGCTTCTTAACTTAAGTGTGCGTACTGCTGCGCTATAATGTAGACTTATTCTCGCTTCTTCAATGCATTTCTATTGTTCGTTTGCTCGCGTCACGCTATTTATTGATATTTAGTACTGCGATGCTGATTTCTATGTTATACTGCTTAATACGTTGGACTTTCTTAGCTACAGCCGATTACATTTCGTCTATCATTTTGTTACATTGGTGGAAAAATCAACCTTTTAAAATTTGGCGTACTGCACCTTTTATTTCGACCCAAGCGGGGAGCACACAGGGAGGTTCAATGCCCCAACTTGTGTTGAGGTTGCTGTTCTTACGGTGGGTGAGGAACATGGTAAGATAGACGTTGTGCTTCTAGACCAAGACAACACCATCAAACGATTTCCTGAGACAAACAGCATATGATGCCCTACAATACCCCATTTGAATGTGTCAAGGCCAAGATGGGTACCACGTACAGATTCCCAAAATTATCAAAGCTACAGAACAAAGACATCCTCACAAAACTGTCTCCTCTAAAGACTTCTATTCCTTCATGATCATGGACAGAGAAGGAGGAAACCCCATATTCCGGTGCGCCAACCTCTTTCACCAGTATATTGTTGATGAGTTTGCCAAAATTGAGAGTGAGCGCCTTCTTTACATTCAATTGAATCAAACACGCCTGCGTGTAGACCAGTATGCTCATCTCAGGGACGTTATCAATGCCGATGGAGATGCAAACGCTCAGAATATGGGCAGATGAGTTATTTTGCCTTCATCCTTCACAGCTGGACCAAGATACATGCATGAGAAGACTCAGGATGCCATGATGTACATCAGCCAATATGGCAGGCCCAAACTCTTTATTACCTTAACTTGTAATCCTTAATGGAAGGAGATCCAGGTTGAGCTTTATCCAAACAAAAAAAGCCAACCGACAAACATGACATCATTGCAAGGGTCTTTAAACTCAACGTTGATGACCTCATGAGGCGTATTACGACTAACGAAGGCGGCGTCTTTGGAAAGACAAGATGTAACTTGCACACCATTGCATGGCAAAAACGTCGTCTTCATGCTCACATTTTGCTATGGATGAGGGAAAAAATCATGCAAGTGACATTGACACATTTGTCAGTGCTGAGCTACCTGACCCCCATCAAGATCCTGCCCTATTTGATGTGGTCTGCAAGAAAATGGTCCATGGCCCATGTGTGGGGAGTTCAATCCTAATTCGCCATGTATGCAAGACCGCAAAGTGTACCATCAAGTATCCACGAAACGTATTGAAAGACACTCAGGGCATGAAGGCTATCTATATCGTCGCAGAAATACTGAGGATGGTGGATTTGAAACAATGCTCAGACCTGGCACTAACTCTGAAATGAAGGTTGACGACCTGTGGATCGGTCACTACTGTCCTCTTTTGTGCAAGATCTTCGAGCCCCACATGAATGTGGAATTCTGCAATTCTGTGAAAGCCATCAAATACTTTAGCAAATACATCAACAACGTTCGACACTTCACGTGGCTTCAAGGTGCACATAGCCTGGCACAAGCGTCGTGGTGATGTCACTGCCACTTAGTGGCGAATGGCGGTTGTTGTTGCGTGTCTTTTTCGCCCGGGCAACGCCGGGTACTTCCCGCTAGTGAATATATAATCTAATGTTTTAGGTACATTGAAAAAGTGAGATTCCTAAGTTCGAAACCCTAATATAGCCCGAACATGTACTTGCTAACAGCACTTTCTATAACTGTCGATGCGAGTGGTTTCCCTTCTACATGTCCCAAACGCTGTGAACCCGAGTTTAAAGAAGGGGGGAGATTGGGCTCGCTGCCCCACCGAGTGGGGACTGTGAGCAGGTAATAATTTTTTTTATATGGGAAGTGGAAGGTTAGGTAAAAAGAACTGAAGAAATCTTGGATTTTTTATGTTTAAGAACAGTTTCGGATTTTTACGTGATCGCATTATATATTTGTGTCTCAGACTAACAAAAAGTGATATCACTGCCACATTACACCATTTTGGTGAGAAAACAGTGGAAGTAACGTCAAATGAACTCGGAAACACGTGCAGTGTATACAACAGTCCTGCAAATAATAAATTATTAAATAATAATTTTTTTGCGAATAATACATGCTTTGCATCTATTGCAAGGAGTTAAATGCATTTTTTTTTATATATAGATATTTGCGTTTACATATAATTAACACCTTAGATATTTGGCTAACAATTAAATATCATCATGGGACCTCCCCTTCCCTGTATCCAAATATACGAATAGGTTTTACCCTTTCTGGCAATAAAACATGTTAAGATGGTAAAAGATGAAACTGATTAGGAATCATGTCTGCATTAATCACATATACTTGTGGTGAATATGCAAAAAAAAACATGCTCTGATAGTATATGCATTGTCTTTGAAACTGATTGGTCCACACCAGAGACAGCTTTCTTTAGAGCCTCGTCTCAACAGTGTTAGACCAGAGGATGCCAAAAGGCGAACAGCGATTCGAACAGAAAGGGTAAAACCTATTATCACTAAATATCAATTACAATATCTACATATTTAAAATGTATTATCTTGTGGACCTTGAGATTGTCAGGTTGGAAACTGCTGGTATATGTAACATCAACTGAGGATCGGTGGGCATGGATGTGTGTGTGCGCACAGCAGCATGACATAAACCCAATGGTGTTAAATGTGTATTTTATAATTTGCAGTTCTTGGAAATGTGGGTAACCATGCAGGGGAATGAAGTTCATGGTAATTCATTATTTTTCCCCCATTGCAGGTGGATGAGCTGCTGCTGTGCAAGACCTGTTTTTATATGTCCAATGCCCGGCCGGAGAACTGGTTCTGCTACCCATGCGTAAGTCCGCCCTGCTCTTCGTTTGAGATTTTTTTGGAGTGCGTGCCATGTGCCAGCATGCATTTTTTTTCATTGACTGGCTGGGGAATCTGATGATCTAGTGTGCTTGCCTATCAGGGGACTGGTTCACACAAAATTTCGATTTAAAGCTTTCATGACTGCAGGGATTCATCTTCTTGGTTCTTTCGGTAAAGTCACGTAGAAGGGAAATAATAAAATAATAAAAATGAAACCTAATAAAATACAATTCTCACGACGTTTCGGCCACAACGGGACGCCTGCTTGCGTTGTGGCCGAAAGGTCGTGAGAATTGTATTTTATTGTTTTATTTTTATTATTTCCCTTCTACATGACTTTACTGAAAGAACCAAGAAGATGGTTCACACTACTTGGTCTGTTTGAATACCACGCTTCCCCCTTAATGTGATGGGCCACTTGCCAACGTGTATTGTCTCCAGTAAAGTCCGTATTCAGGATGCTGTGACGCAATAGGTTAGGGGTACAACAACGTTTTACTTTCGGTGTTGTAGTCTACAGTTGTCAATGTATAATTAAATGCAATACCCTGTTCAAAAGTGCAAGTATTCCATGGAACAAGATGTGACATTAATGTCCGTCTAATAATGTTTTGAAGGCATAAAATTGAAGACAGAATGACACATTTTACTACATTCAATTCAAGTACTGTATTTTAAAACTATAAATCGTTTTCGTTTCGTTTCTGTTATATAACTGAAACCTAGAATGAGTCCCATATATATATTTTGCTTTTTTAATGAAACACTGAAAAAATATCTACAAAAGTAGTTTTTTTAGAAAGTTTCCAGCACCAATTATTTTTAGCTTGCATTTATACATGCAAAATAAAATAGTGATAATTGCATCCTGTATAAATTATCTTCAGTCTCGGCCCAAGATTAAGATCAAGTAATCTCTCTTCAACACTACCTATGTCTCTTTTCAATGAAGAATCATCATTAGTACCTCATTATGACCTAATATCAGACCCTAGTGCCTTACACGCTCCACCCCAAAAGTAAATCTGTACAAAGATCACTTGCCATTCAGGTCCCCTTAATGTGCATGACCCCTATTTTCCACCATCTTTCGTTATGATCACATTTAGATGGTATGTAAAGTAGTGATTAAAATTTTATTTTTGGATTATGCCACGTAATGATCTGAACAAACATGTGAACCCCCCTTCGTCTTGGGCAGTTAATTTACTTATTAATCCAGGAGAACCACACCGAGTCGGAGGCCTTTTTTTCAGCGGAGTTTTGCATTTATTTTTGGTTTAAGATATTTTCAGCCATTTTATGAAAGCTTATACAAGTGGGAAGAAACCGGAGCACCTAGAGAAAACCCACTTGCTTGAGGGGGCAACACTCTATCCCCGTACAGATGGCAATAATTCCACTTGCTGTACTGCCTTCTCCTGGGGAGCCAGGATGTGGCACCTCAACACCCATGGGAAGGGAATTTCCCACCGTTTATGTAATCCACCAACTTTTGCCTCCACAGTGCTGGATTACAGGTGTGCCGCCACCACCACCTGACGATAACAATTCCTTACTTTGAATTGTAATGCATTTCTTGGAATTTAATACTATTCCTTGTAGGAGTGTGAGATAATTGGAGAACTGGAATTGCCACTTTTATATGGAGACTTGCCAAAAAGCATGCCATCTTGTGGTGACTGAAATACCATAAATTGGGATTCTTCAACAACCATTCTTAGACAGCCTAAGAATTTCCACCAGGAATCCCTTTTATTGAGATCTCAGAATTTCCATTGAAATTAATGGGGATTCTATGGATGATGGAGATGCAGGAATCTCCACTTAAGTGAATCTGGTTATTTTGCAGCTTAGGATTTTTCTAAAAGAGAATGATTGTTCATATCAATGTAGATGCCTGCATCTTATTAAAATAAATGGGACTCTGTAGGGGTTTCATGATCACAACCAGCTAATATGCTTCGATACTTCCCCTTGGCATATACTGGCGATTCCATTATTCCAGCAATCCTACAATCCTATTTGACTCAAATATACATTCTTGGATTGTCATTTAATTGAATGAGAAGCAGTGGACAATTCCTAGAATTCCTGTTAGAATTCTGTGAATGTGAATTGATATTTTTACGTAGGAATTACAATACAATATTTACATTCCTACAAGAATCGCCCATGGTAGAATCATGGAATTCAAATAAAATGTATGCAGGAGTGAGCCAGCATGACTATCAACACATTTGATTGTGTTATAACGGTCATACAGTATCTCTATGAGTATTACATTAGCATACTTACACTGCAGCACAAATCATAATCTTATATGTCTTTGTCTTGTGCTATGGTGGTGACTATGTCGGTGCAAAATGACTTGACACATCTGGCCTATGGCCAAGCCTGGCACAGACCTCACCTAACCCTGGCACGAGTGTCGTGGTGACGGTGGCACCTGCACAAACTGATCCGACTCTTCCTTGACGACACTGTTGCTGTGCTCCTGCTTCTTTTCAGAATCCGCCGCACAAGCTTGTGTGGGCGCGCATGAAAGGCTACGGCTGCTGGCCGGCCAAGGTGATGCAGCATGTCGACGACCGGGTTGATGTGCGCTTCTTTGGGCACAACCACCAGCGGTGAGGTCCTGCAGTAGGCTTCCATTGAGTTGGTGATGGCACATTAAATTTCGATTTAAAGCTTTCGTAACTGCAGGGATTCATCTTCTTGGTTCTTTCGGTTAAGTCGCGTAGAAGGGAAATAATAAAATTATAAAAATACAACATTCAGACGCTGTCTTCCAGACAGACGTGGTCTTCACCTGAGGACGGCTGCTTGCGTTGTGGCTGAAACGTCGTGAGAATTATTTTATTATGTTTTATTTTTATTATTTTATTATTTCCCTTCTACATGACTTTACCGAAAGAACCAAGAAGACGGCACGTTAACTTATAACATAATAAATAATGCTGCTTTCCCACATTTGTCTCCGTATAATAAAAACAAAGTATTTTCACATTATCGGCTTCATGGCCTTCTGGGACTGCATATCATCAGCAAAATTGGTGCAATGCAATTATACATTTGAGTGGTTTCTAAATTCGGTGTCTCGTCAGCAGTCAGACATGCTTCTTGAACCATTCATTATGGTCGGTAAACTTTTTTTTCGCTGTCAGGTATATTCCATTTGCGATCTTGTAATGAGGTTAATACATTTGTCATTAAAATACTCAGCGAGTAGTTCTGTCTGAACGGCCTCTGGGAGATAACATCAGAGAACGTGTTTCTGAGGTATTTTTACCTGTGCCTTCTCCGTGCTAAGTGGGCACCTTCCCACATGCCCTGTGCTAGAGGTGATTGTCGCATGGCATGCAAACTGAGCTCTTTTAAACGTTCATGCTGGAATAAGATGAATTATATTAAAACCGGTAACAATGTCAGCCTGGATTCTCAACCACCTTAGGTATGCTTTGCACATTCACCCTGTTTTAAGCGTAACATTGTTAAAGCTTTTGAAAATGTATGGAACTCTGGGAATGCATAGAGATAAGTTCAACAGCTATATTTGTTAACAATACGTTATTGTATAATTAACAATTTCGTTCAATGTTTGGTGCTTGGAAAAAGCCATCAACTGGCCACCTGCAGAAATAATAGAAATACTATTTCATAGTTATTTAGTATTATATTTAACCAATCACAGAAGTTGACAGAATTAATAATTTATGTTTTATATATTGTCAATTTATACAGGAATTATATTTTAGGCACCATCATCAGTCAATGAGTCAATGAAAATATAAAAGCTAAAATACACATAGTTAATACATAGTTTGTTTAATACATTATATATTAATACATATATTGTAAAATAACCAAGTTTCTACTTCACTGAGCTAAGTAATTATTTTTGAATGAATGCTGCTATTTAAGTACTTTCTCTAAGATTCTCAGAAAGTCACCAGTAGCCGTTGGATGCGAGGTCGCGAATGCAATTGTCATCGAATAGCGGTGACGTGCTGTGGGCTCGTGGTGCTGTGTTCCTCCTCTCGCGCAGGGCGTGGATCCAGGAGGAGTTCGTGCGCGACATCTCGGCCGGCATACATGAGCTCGTGATCAAGCGCAGTTCCGGCTGGAGCAAAGCGCGCGCGGAGCTGGAGCGGTACCAGGAGTTTGTGCGCGGCGGCAAGGTGTGGAAGCTGGGCGATGGCGAGCAGCGCTCCTCCGACGACGTGGAAGTTGGCATCTCCTCATCCTCCATTCCCTCCATCTCGTCCACCAGCTCTGAGCAGGTGTGTACCATGGCAGCCCACTGGTAGGACTCATGTCGCGCGAAAATACACTGACTTGTGGCGCCAGGGTCTAATAGTGAAGGTTCAAGTGTCAACTTGCTCAAATTTACATAAGGCGCAATCCTATGGCGGTGGCCTTGGAAGCACTGCTTCAGGGTGACCGCTGTTGGGCTTTATCAACCCCTAAGCAGGGATTTTAAATTGTAGTGTTCTGAACTACATACATTTTAAACACATTTACCTGGCAGGATAATAATATAGTAAACGGTGAATTCATGACATTGAGGAGGAAGGAACACACCTAGAAGGAGGGTCTCATGGTTGTCAAGAGGCAAGTTGTGATTATTCACAACTTGGACCTTGAGCCTCAATTCCCATGGGACATTTGTGGAGATCATGACGACCCAATGCTGGTCCACACGGTAATAATAGTTATTTAAAGTAAAGCACCATTGAAACGGTTGTTGATTCTCCAGTGTAAAAGCACTCGTAACTCTAGTCATATAAACAATAACATGCAAAGTGCACATCACAATCTTATATGTGGTAAAATGTAAAACACCTGTAAACTATTGTACTTCGAAAAAGACATTTGAGGAATCGTAGCCATGGCCCAAAGGTAGCGTGTTCGCCGCTTTTTGCAGAGGTTCGCAGTTCAAAATGCATGTGGTCTGCTTCACAGTGGTCGTTAAAGATCGCTTAATGACATTTGAAATAAGTAGGTCATTGTGTGCCAGCGTCTTGGGTCCAAATTTGCCAAATTTCTAAAATGACCCACAAATTGCTCAATTTGGATTACACATATCAGGCATCGCCTTCTATTGGCAGACTAATGCCCATTTGCAGGCCAGGTGCTGATTCATTTCCTGTCACGCAGGGACCACTGCCACTGGGGGTGCCCTTTCAAATGTTTGCTCTGAGATTCCTTGCATAAAGGGTGTTTTATCAAATACAAATTATTAAATATGATTAAATTGATAGCATTTTATACTAAATAACTGCAAATGTTACACTTTATACACTCGAAGTAGATTAAACAGCATTATAAAAAAACTGTTTCACAAAGTGAATGGTTGCGTGAATTCCACAAGTCTAAGGATCCTTAAAATATGTATCACAACATATTTGTTTCTTGCAATGCCACACATTGTGACACTTTAAGCACGTCTGAAGTACGCACAGTCAAAGTCGATGGTTTTGTATTGCAGTGCTCCAAGCTAAGGTGTAAAGTCATGCTGTACAACCTGTCTTGCATTCAGGCAAGGCTGCAGCATGAACCTAAAGCTAAGAAGCCAAAACTTGCCAAGTATGACTCCAACTGCAAAGAGGTATTGCCTAAGCGCGTGCATGGGAGTATGTTCAGGAATCAGGTGTTGGCACATCACACTGTGATTTATCCATTCACGTCCATGTCATTTCACCTCGCGTGCACACTTGTTGGTGGTTGTATTGATGGGCTGCCGTATGCTAAATGTACATCATTATATAAATTCAGAATTGCTGCATGGCCACGTCACGTCAGGTGATCTAGAACAGCATGGTCGCTTACCTCTGAGTATAAATTGTTCTGCTATCCTATGCCCCTCATTCAGTGACAAATGAGGGAAACTGGACATTTCAAAAAGAGTGATGGTAACTACTGGAAGTGAAATGGAAATTAATGAATTATTGCACTTCAAAGTCACGATTCAATTTAAGAATTTTAAAAAATTGATGTTTAATAGATCCCGTAGGGGTTTAGTGGTAGCGGTAATGTTAACCAATTACATACACCGTATGTGAAACGATTAACGTTGATGAAAACCGGGTTTAACGTAAGTGCTGAAAGCCAATTTCATTTTGTAATTATATAAACAAAAATTCCACAAACTTAAAAATCTGTATTGTTAAAAGAAAATACCACTGACAACCTAGTGAATTTAGAGACAGCTTGGAATTTGCAATAAAATTAGCGAATCACTTGTCAAGTTCGACTCAAGTTGAAATTAGGTGGTATACATAGAAAGTTATAGATGTGTTGATTATACAGGTGATTTGGTGGAGGCCTTTATCCAGCAATGGATTGATCATAGCTGATGTTCAGATGCCTGTATGGGCATGATTGTGTAATTGTGTTTATTGCACATGCTCATGGCATGCTTGTATGCCTTTCTGTGTTTATACGTTGTAGGATGCTGTACACGGTGCACACATTTGCATGCGTCTATTCATGTACTGTTGTAATTACATCTTGCCTGTCTGTCATGTATATATGAGTACACATTTGCATGCCTACATAAGTGAGTTGAAAACATGTGGTATATTCTAACCATCATAGAATCCTTATCAATGGCAACCCTATTTGGCAATTCCTTGCACTTCCATTTGAGTCCCCAAAGTATGCCTTCATTTTCTGAAACCTTTGCTCTGAAATTTGACTTGTATTAAAATAAAGCAACCATCCTTCACTCCATTTTTAAAAATGCCAAAAAAATTACGACAAACTTGGCAAACATTGATGCAATATCACAGTCAAAGGTGTTTATACGCGCATACGAGTGTGGACCAGGACAAACCTTAGTTTATGGCCATGAATTTCACATTCCTAATGAGGTTCAGTCCTTCCATAAGACGACATTTTAACTTGCCAAAGTGCTACTTCCATAAAAACTCTCAAGTGTCTGACCTGCACACTGTGATCAGAATTTAAACTCTTCCCCCACCCAGAGTGACTGCAGCGCCATTGCTGATGCCGCATTAACTGGCCTGTCGTGCGTGCCCTGTGCGTCTCTTATCACTCTTATCATATCACAGCGCCCCTGCGCGCCGCGTCAGAAGTGTGAGGAGGCGGAGGTGGAGATGGAGTGCGTGAGCTCCAGCCAGGAGGTGCCACAGGCCGCGCCTCCCATTGAACGCCTCTCGGTGGGCACGCAGACGCGTAGGGCCGGTAGCAGCGGCGGCACCAAGACGCTGCACCGCGGCACGCAGACCAGCTCGGACTCGCCCTGCCACAACATGTGCCATGAGAAGTACAGCAAGATCTTTAACGAGTTCAAGGAGCGCATGGAGGGCGACCACAAGCGTGACACCGAGCGGCTCGTCCGGGAGGCCCTCGAGAAGGTGAGGATAGCAAGAGCGGGTAACAGTGTTTTATTGTAGTTCTAGCCTCTTCGTGTGTGTGGTAGCCTTGGTGGAATTTTGACTGCGTTGGCTGATAATATAATGTTGGTGTGAACCACACATGTGCATCCCCGTGTAAAAATGAAAGTAGATGTGGCAAGCAAACTCCAGCAGTTTCTTGTCCCTCAGTCTCATGAAGGACTTACATGGCATGATCAAGTGGCCAAAGTGCAACTGCATTTTTCTGAGTCCGCCCTCGTTGGTGTTCTTTTCAATAAACGAGGCCGTTCGTTTTCTGCGCACACAGCACTTGTTTAACACGAAACATTCTTCTCGGCATCTGTGCCACGTGCACAGCTGCGCAGTGAGCTGGATGAGGACAAACGGGCAGCGGTGACCAAGGCTGTGGCGAACCTGCAGGCGGAGATGGACAAGAAGTGCAAGCAGGTGAAGGAGAAGTGTAAGGAGGAGTTTTTGGAGGAGATTAAGAAGCTGGCCACGCAGCACAAGCAGATGATTTCGCACACCAAGAAGAAGCAGTGGGTGAGTGAGCCATCTAGCCGGTTGCTTTTTGCCCGTTCGCACATTTGTGGCAATTTACGTGAGCCTGTCATCGGTATATTCTAGGTTGGCTTACATTATTGACTGTTGTGGTCTGTGGGTGGTCAACACCCCGTGTTCCATCTTAAACGTTATCTAAAGCTGAACCTCATGTCTGTGCGTGTGCAGTGCTACAACTGTGAGGAGGAGGCCATGTACCACTGCTGCTGGAACACGTCATATTGCTCCATCAAATGCCAGCAGGAGCACTGGCACTCAGAACACAAACGCACTTGCCGTCGCAAACGTAGAGACTAAACTAGCCAAACAGGAGCCTCTCCATTGCTCATGCCACCATTCCCTTACCCATGTTTTAATAATCACAACTTGGGTGGAGGCTTTTCCAAACAAATATACCTTCCTTAAAAATATTTAAACTGCACCCACACCAACATTCATCCTTGACAAATACACATTTTAAAAAAATAGTCTTGTAAGACCTCCTAAGAACTAAATATCCATAAGGGATGATTTTGGGGGTTTCGTTTTTATTCAATTTTAAGGAGTTTAAAGGAGCTAAACAGTGAGTTTTAGTACACACGTTAAACTCGGTTTTCATAGTTGGTCATGGACACTCTCCGATTGGATGCAATTGAACACTGTCATGGGAACCAACTGAATATTCAATTAATTATGAATTATGATTTTAGTTCCAGTAGGGGCTCTTCAGAGGGGGGGGGGGGAGCCTCGATTGCATCAAATGACCTCTGCTACCATTTCCTCAGTGATATGTATAACCAAACCAAGTCAGAGAGGGGCAGGTAACAAATACTGCATCTGTGAGTAAAATACGGTCTAACAGGACCGAATCAACGAATAACAATGGCAAACACAACCCAGGAATTAAAAGCACAACTGTGCAATTAACTAACCGATTCTCACACATGCAAACTCATTATCCTAATTTTTCAAGAATTAGCCTTTTTACTGGGATGGAGGGACGGATGCAGAGTGTATCATAACAAACTATAAAAAAACTGGGTTTCTCTTCATATTTTGGTCACAAACACAAGCTGATGGGTTACAATTGAATCATTACCATTGAGTTCCCTGACTGCTTTTTCACTGGAATAGTGTTCCAATGTCTGTGTTCGAAACATATACTGGTGACCAGTCATGAAAACCAGATTTTATGCAAGTACTAAAATCGCTTTTTCTTGGGTTCCTGTTCAATCATAACCAACGTATGAAGAATTTAAACTAATCTAATAACAAGTGGGATTATATAATTTGATTTTATTGAAAGGGCACATTTTGCTCTTTGCAAACTGATTTTATTTTGAAAGCCAAAGGGAATTTTATATCAGTGCTTCAGATAAAGGTTATGTTCCATTTTATTCCACTGAATTTAGTTTTTTTTTGACCCACAGCTTAAAATTAATTGCATTACAGATTCCATAGATGGAGCAAAAATATCGTTCCAAAGCACAGCACACTGCATAACACCTTGGCTTTTTAAAAAAATATTTAAAATTAAACAAAAAATGTGTTTTATATTTCATATCCCCCCCCCCCCCCCCGCATCTTATGGATTTAGGGTTGGGATGATATCACTGCTCCTAGTGCATATACAGTCTGTCAACCAGAATTTTGGGTTGGAAAAGTAAATCTGTGAAATGCACTTTTGCTGGGCCCTATTTAATGTCTTTATCCTTTTCGCACTTAGTTTTGATATGAACATCATTCTCTTGTGTTCCACCAGCCTGTCCGATGATAAGACTTTTATTTTTTTGCCTATGTGCATTCCCAACTTGCAATGATGAAACGCTTAATCAAGCACACAATTGTGGCAATTTCTCGATTGACCAAAAGACTTTACTGCGTCAACTAGGTTTTTTAATCGATTATTTTCTTTCGATAATCGTTTTCAGAATCATGGATTGCAAATTTTTGAATCAATCATCAATTTGTTCCATTTTTAGTAACGATTTTATCGATTTGGTGCACGTGAGCATTTAAACTGCACGGTGCGTTCAAATGCGGTTGGCCACGGCCAGCAATCAGCTGCAGGGTTCTCATAAGTCTCTCTGGGGTACAGATGTGTGGCAATCCGAAAATCAATATTTTATTACAATCTTTTATGTGCATGCATAATGTGCATGCAATTATCCATAATGCTCAGAAACCGAAACAACCTTAGGGAGAACCCACTAGGATTTCAAGTCTCTTCTTTGGGGTTCTCTGTATTCAACAAGTGATATCACTACACTGTGATACAGGCTTAACATTCAAAGCTAATAGTAAATAACAAGTAGAAAACGAAATTGTAGTGAACCAAAAGTAAGCCAGTCCTGTTCTTGAGGGTTTATTTGTGCACAAACAAGGTTATTTTTGGTGGTACGGCAGAGTAATGCTATCACTGCGTGATTTAACAAAAAAATATTGATTAAACGATTGGGAGCCAGAGCTATTTTGTTGGACACTTACCAGCATTGCTTGTATGTGCAGTAGACAAGCCAATGACGCATTTCATGAAGGTGATAGGCCAGCATTCTGATGCCATGACTTTGTAATACTACAAAAAAATACAGTCACGTGCTCTGGTGAAGTTATCCCTTGTGTAAAGTTTTAACCAAGTTTTATATACATTTTATAGCAACCTGTTTCAATATTTGACATCTGTACATATAAATGTGTTAAGTCAGTTTTGTGTCCAGATCTCTGAAGTGAATACATTTGCATGGGTGATGGTCCCTTTAGTATTAAGTGTGAATATATGTGTATTATATTGAACTCCTATGTTTAATATTTTTCACCAGCAGTGCTTTAACATATGTCTATTACTAATATGTATCTTTTTCCTTTTTTTTATTTTAACCTTTACATGCTCAGCTTTGTTTTTAACATTTATTGCACTATGCATAGACATTTGAGCCTCAGGCATAATTGATTAACTTGTCTTGAATAGATTAATGCTCCAAAAGGTGACTAATTTAGCGGCTGCCACGCCACTCGAGTTTGACAATCTTTGGCCTTCCCATGCCAGTGCCTCCTCAACACTTGACAGGTGGGAGCTCACCCCTCCCCATAGGAGGGGTGGTGACCCCCTCACCTCTGGTCCAGAGGGGGAGGGACAGGAGTTCCCGTACCTCTGATCACACACCCCCAGGCATCCATTTTCCATTGTCTTTAGTTGTATAGTTGTATGGGCTGGTGCCCAGAGTTCTGATTAGCTTCCGTGCATTTAGTGTAGTTGGTTGGCGTTAGTACCAGGAAAAGTTGTCTTGGGACAGGTAGCCTCTTCCCAAGGGGAATGCGGATTTTATCTGCAGCATGCTGGCCATACTGGACAAGTCGAGGACTGCCGGCAGATGGAATTGGCTGGGCATTGTGTATGCTGGTCTGCAAGATATGGCCGCACATGTGGTTAGGTGAGGAGAGACGTGGTGGAAGCTGCTGACAAAAAGGACAAAGGGAAAAAGCCAACACTGCAGGATGAGACCTTTTTATACTCAGGACAAGATGGCCAAGATGTTTTTTGGAGGCCACCACGCTGATAGCCAGCCACGACCTTTGTGGAGGTCAAGGCTCCATATGCAGGCCTCTTAGTGGCGCCTCTAGTGGCAGTGGGATCTTGTCAGCAGTTGTATGGACCAGTTAATAGCTCTCCCTAATCCAAAGCTTCACGGGACCTCCACGAGTTAACCTGGGGGGGAAATTACTGTGTGCGAAAGCCTTTAAGTTTCTTGGAATATGGTTGGTAAAGACCGATGCCAGCCTTGTTGGCTGTTCCACCAGGATAGCTCCGTTCCACCAAAAAGTCACACGTGTTGGAATTGACCAGAGGTGAGGGGGGGCCCCCACCTACCAAATGCTTTTATATATTCCCAAGGTTTTGGCGCTGGCACGGGAAGGAGTTTTAAAGATGATCAACCCGGTATGGGGTGGCGGCCACCTGTTAAAACCCGGGCTTAACGTGAGTACTGAAGCCCTGTATATAAATTAAGCTTTCAGCTGCTGTGCTTTAGGAAGAGGGACCACAGAGCGAGTGTATGGGCTTAAGGGCACCAACATCAAAATCGCCTCTTACCATTGCAATCTGCTTTTAATAATCTTGACGTGATGACGGGTATCATCCCAACCCTGTTTTTAAATATAAAACTTAGTTAACCTTACTAATGGCTCAAATGCTCTGATAAGACTCCTTACCACTCTTGTTTAAGCAGCAACTTGCTTCCCTTGTCTGAAAATGAGCAGCGACTGATTATTTCGCACACGTGAAATAACGTTGATGAACAGCAGCAGAGGCATTCCTGCAGCTTTTGTTTTATTGTACGAACGCATGTATATAATTACTGTATATTCAAATATGCTATTGGGCACGCCGCGAGATAAACTACTTCGCAGGGCATGATTTTGCCGACTGCAGATTTTCCCTGCACCTGTGTTAAAGGTTTTGAGAAAGATGTGCAAGTGTTGGTGATGAGCCGCAGTGGCCCACACGTGTAGGGTTGTGGGTGTGAATAGATCATAACGGTGCCACGGAGTGTTCAGACTTTGTGATGAGCATTAACTTGGGTTGCCCTTTAATGCTGCCCAGGGATGATGAGGTCATCTGACAGGCATTGCCCCCCCCCCCCTTTTGACGTGAGAACTTGTAAAATATCTGCTGCCGTTTTGGCCCAGAGAAAGGCACGCTTGTAACAACTACAATTACACCTATAACAGTTTTAATGATCCTAAATGTATCAATGCCATTGTGGAGAAATATTTTCTTTTATAGTGTTTGTTTTTTTGTAATGCTTACAATGAAAGCAAAGTTGGTCGTGGCACCTGGGTAGATTGGTGTTCCTTGGTTTTGCTTGATTAAATAACTCGTTTTCACAAGCATGGTCCTCAGGTTGTCGCCCATGACAATAAAAACAATACAACAATTTTACACCATGCAAAAGGACGTGTGATATTTTTTTGTACTTTACCACCAAATAGAGCTTACTGCGGAGCTCTAGTGAAAACAAACTTTTATTCACATTACCCTCCGAACCATTCCTCATTCACTGCCTCCAAACCGTCCTGAATGGAGAGTGTATAAGTTAATGTATTTTCTTGCTTTTATTTTAACACCATCGTATGTTATTTTGGAGTAAAAAAACATTTAACCCAGCTTTGTAAATGCTATGTATTGATAAACTTCCAGCTGTATTTAATAAAAGCTTTATCGTGCGATTGCAATATTTTCGCTCCATAAAGCAGATAAGTGTGTGATGTGCGCATCTGAGCTACCCCATCGTAGTTGTGTCGTAAGGCATGCGTTCATCAGTCCTCTGCCCTTTCCTGCCAGTCGCGGTAGGAAGGTTCAACATTTTAAGGAGAAAGCTTCGCAAGTGTAAGATAAATGTACCTGCTTTTGCTCCACTGGTTTGTTTTTCAATTAAGCCAAGTTGATTGCACTTCCCAATAAAGGTCGCTTGTTTTTGGTTTTTGATTAAAAAAAAATCAATCGCCACTCTTCGCGTAACCGCTTTTAACGCAGTTGTGTACCCTGTAATTTTGCGCAGGTTAAGTTGCATTCTGTATTCTGGTTTTCATGACTGTGCCTGTTCCAAACCTAGTAAAATAAATGGTTAACGGTGAACATAAGCACATGTGTGGCTGTTCCTCTGCACAAACCCAGAAGTTGCTGATAGTGTTTGAAACGTTTTATCTATTAACAATCGAGGTGACCAGGTGTCTCTGGGGGTAAAATAGTACTCGCATTGAGCTAGCACCACTGAGGGACTCTGTTTGAATCTGGGCAACTGAAAAAATATTTCACCCTAATCCTGATTATTCTGCTGCACTTCTCGGCACTCCTCAATCATTGATTCCATCCCATGCCAAACAAAGCAGGAAAGTATACGATCTTTATTGTCCGAGTGAAGGTCCTTCCTCAGTCTCGTACTGTAGTACCACCGAGTACTGGCATCACATTTGTTCACGGAACACTGTCCATGGTGCCTCCAGTTAAAACGTTCAAACCTAACAAATTATCTTTCTCCAGCATGATAATTTTAAGGTAAAATGACAATGAGCACACGACATCCAGAATATACATTGCCAATGAGCTGTCAACAGTGTTTTGGGCAAAAGGCAATACATTTTATTCAAATGTAATGCCAATACCATTGTCTGAACCTTGTCTGAGTGGCCAAAAATGGCTATGCAAAACACCTGCACTTTAGTTCATTGACCCTTTTTTCTACATCAATTTGGCCACCCACTAGTCTCCTTTTCATAACATTGAGTATTCCTGCAGGGCCACAGAACGTTTGCAGAGAAAGATTGTGCCTGCCCCTGTCCCCCCCTGAGTTATCCTGCCATTTACCCACGAATCATCACGCTGCTAACAGTTCTGCTTGCACTTTTTCAGCTCAAACGCATTGGCAGCGGGTACATTCCCGATGAAATGGAACAAGGGCTCATTCTTAGGTTTTTTCGGTAAAGGCACGTAGGTAAAAAATAAAATAAAAATCACGACGTTTCGGAGGCAACACAAGCTTCCGTCTTCAGGTGGAACCGTCACAGCCACGACAGCTGTATCAAGTAAATGAGAGATTACAAGAGCTACCACTCCGTATATATAATGGTTGAAGAGGGGAACAAGTCTTTTGTAACAAAAGACTTGTTATGCAGTATATTCTTAGTCTTAAGCCTCACCTTACCATATTAATAAAAAGTGTGCCGTACTTGGCCCTTCCCCTCTTCAACCATTATATATACGGAGTGGTAGCTCTTGTAATCTCTCATTTACTTGATACAGCTGTTGTGGCTGACGGTTCCACCTGAAGACGGAAGCTTGTGTTGCCTCCGAAACGTCGTGATTTTTATTTTTTATTTTATTTTACTTTTATTAATTTTAAATTTTTACCTACGTGACTTTACCGAAAAGACCTAAGAATATGAATCCTTGCAGTTACGAAAGCTTCAAATCTGGAACAAGGGCTGTCTGCATGCCTTCCCCACCCTGGCGTCTGATCCCCAGGGTCATAGCCAAGATCAGGAGGAACAAAGAATCAGTATTGGTAATCGCTGAGGATTTCCAAGACCACCTATGCCAGCCTGGATGTTGCCAGTCTTGGAGGACCTTTTTCACAGCAGCAGCAGACAGCTTGGATGTTGAGAGGGTGAAACTGGCTTAAAGTGTTCCCCGATCAAGCACAGATGCTCTTGCGAAGGTAAAGCTAGCAGTCCATGGGCAGGGTAGATGCCTGCAACTGAAATACTTTTATGCACTGGTGTGTCCGGGAGGTCAGAACCTGCTTGCGTGCAACCTAGCAATCGCTAACCACCTCCAGGAGGAATTCCAAGGTGGCCCGTTTGAGTGTCTGTTAAGGTGCACTGATCGGCCATTTCGAATATTTACCATCAAGTGACCTATATTCCAGCGGTTCAGCCCCCCATTCTTCGAATGCTGTCGAGGGCAATGTGCCAGCTTGAATGTCTCCATTGCAACTTGGGTGTTGGATGTCTTCACACAACCACATTGAGCCCATGGCCATGACAGCTCTTATTGACTCAAGACTATTCCTAGTGGCCATCGCATTGGCCAGGATCGAGGAGCTCCAGCTCGTATTCCCAAGTCATTCAACTGGACAAGGTGCTACTGAGAATATCACCTCGGTTCCTACCAACATGCCTGCTGCTGATTTTTGTCCGAACTATGGAGAACGCTGCACACACGTTGGATGGACCAGTGGTGAAATTGTACCTGCTGATGGATAAGACTGGTGACTGAATAGATGGCCATAACATGGAGTTTTTTTTATCTAACTGTTGCTAAGATAACCTTAGGCTTTAAAAAAATACACAATGTACTGTAGTGGAAAACAAGTTAACTTAATCTATATCAAATATCACACATGCAAAAAGCAGCTTAACCATTTAATGGCTTTCAAAATAATCAGTTAAAGTTTGGGTGGCCATTAACACTTACCACATCATGACAAGTATTTATTTTATTTACTCCAATGGTCCCATTGTTCAAAGACTTCTATAAAGTATTCATATAGCAGAGATAGCTTTTATTCATCTGGAAGCACATTTACATATTCCTATAAAGTATGTTAAGCAGACTCAAAAGAAGGAATTGTGAGTGCTAATATTGACTTTAATATTGAATCGTTGATTTAGCATAACAGACTGCAATCGCATTAGTCACACAGGCATATCGTATGTGAAAATGCATCAAGTATCACGCAGTTTGCATAAACAGCAAAGCTGCACCTCTACCTATATATAGTTAGTGTGGTGCTTCTCTTCATTTCACTTCCTCTACAGGCTCCATCATAGCTCAAATTTAATCACAGACACTTAACAAAAACAACAAGACAGCAACTGTCACCCACCTCGCCTCCTTTCAGTAAAGGCATTCAAACTCACCGCTGTTTTAACTGCAACTCAAGGGAGCAGCAGCAGCAGCATGTCACAAGTGAGACAAGCCCCATACAGACAAGTCAACCGCATCGAGAAACTCCGGATGCACATACACGCCTACTTCTTGCCAAGGCTCCACAGAGCATCCAGCTTGCTCAGTGGGTCATCAGGCCTCTCTGGGGCCTGTAGGCCCCCGCCAGCCTGCGGGTGCGTGAAGCTTTGCCGAGTGATTTTCTGCCTCCCCCCCTTGATGTTCCCATCGAGCGTGAAAGCCTCGGGGCTGAGAGTGGCCAACAGGTCCAGCGTCGAGGCTCCGCTGACATCGCCGACCGCCCCCTTGGCTGCAGCTATGCCAGGAGCGTGTGATGCTTGACGCCCGACACCATTGCTACGTGGCTCACCAGATCGTGCTGTCTCGGCTCCACCGTTAGTAGACTCAATCGCAACCGACGATGGCGCCGGTGTTGGGACGGCCTTGATCGTTGTGGGACCATCCTCCTGAGCGCAAACAGCAGCAGCTGTCGCGGCAATGTCGCCGTTCGCTGGTGGGAGAGGTGCGTCGACAACTACCTCGTCGGCAGTGCATATCGTCGTTGAGGTGTGCGGGGGATTGCCTTCGCTTGAGGGGGGGGTTGAGGGAGTGGCCACTGCTGGCTCTAGGGAACTCTGCGGAGGAGATGGGCAGGTCTTTATGCTGAGCCGCGCCACCGTGGCCTGGATGGAGCTGAAGGAGAGGTCACCACCCAGCACTATGTCCTGGGAGTCCTGCCGCACTGGAGCTGGCGCCTGCTGGGGGACCCATGTGGGGAAACGCAAGATGGATGGACGCGGGAACAGGTGTTGTTAAGCTTGAATCGGTAGCAGCCGCGTTGAGCTAGTGTTGACAACTTGTTGTACACAGGCACTACGAGTAATTATATCATTGTGAGCAATCTCAATTCATTGTTGGCATTGTCTCAGATTCACTGTGCTACACAGGCAGGTCACCCATTTGGCTGCCTTGCTCCAATATTCAGTCGTCCCTGGGCTGCCCCCTAGTGTTTCAATTAGAAATTACAGACAAGGGCCTGGGTGGAGGCCATGGGTCACTGTATATGAAAATTGCTTATTTTACCCGATTGGTAATTAAAAATCCAACCCTCTTGTCTCCATCATGGGAAATGGACAACAGACAAGTGATGTAAAATTTAGATTTAAAGCTTTCGTGACTGCAGGGAGTCATTGGAGCGCTGTCTTTCAGACAGCTCTGTCTTCACCTGAGGACGGCTGCTTTTGTGGCCAAAACGTCGTGAGAATTTTATTTTAATGTTTTATTTTTATTATTTCCCTTTTACGTGACTTTACCGAAAGAACCAAGAATATGAGACAAGTGATGGTTATGCAGATTGGTAATTGCACTGCATTATGTACACAAAGGCAGTGGTGCCTCCAACAGGGCAATGGCACCCACAAACATTATTTTAGTAGGTATGGCCCACTGAGCTATATAGCTTATTTTTCATAAGCGACCTGGCCACAAATGATAGCTCAACGAAGTGGCTTATCACGTGGAAATTAAAAGCAGCCAAAAACTCTTTAAACACACGTTTCTAAATCTTCCGCGCCGTACGTAGCCAACTGCCTGAGTCTGAGGTTATGGTACCTTCTGGCTGGTGGTGACTGGGTGCTTCGGGGCAGCGACGCCGCTCACGTAGATGCCGTGCCGCTGCAGGACCTGCTCCGTGTGCCGCAGCACCACCTCGTAGCAGAAGCGCAGCTGAAGCTGATGGAGAGCGCACAGATGAACACTTTAAACAACTGCTCGCAGCGAGAGTAATTTTTTCCAGAGCAAAATTGGATATGGTGTCAGCCATCATGCACAATGGTAACATCCGAGTACCATAATGAAAAAGACAACGGTTAATTATCATGGTTTGTATTTTGGCAAACTACCCGAGCAAAGTAGCTGGACATGATGGATCAAATAAATCAATGTGGATGATGCAAATTTGTTTTACTCCAAAACACACTAGGTTGTAAGGAGGCGAGGAGATTGTAGTAGAGCAAGTGGGTTTTTTTAACCCATCTGTATGGACCTTGAGCATTATCTCTTCATATGCATGGGTTTTCCCATACTCATGTGTCCTCTGAAATGCAAAATACTCCTTGAAATTGAATTAGCCATTGCAGGAAAACAGTCTTCATTATTGATTTAAGTAAAATATGAATTAAATATATCATGAAGCTCCGGTCATCCCACAGTGGCTTTTAGCTAACCATCGAACAAAGGCGGTCACTACATTGTGCGCTTTCAGATGCACTAACTGCGGCTGTCTGGAATGCTCTTTCTTCCAATATAATGGAAACCGCTGGAGATCTGCACTTTTAAATCGAGATTGAAAACAATTTGTTTAGAACTGATTTTTGTGTTTAGTTTGTTGTCCTTCCCTCACACCTCCAATGAGTACAGTTGGCTATGAATGGGTGCAAAAGACGTTCAACATACATAAACTCTGCATTCAGAAAATGTTATATATTGTTCATCAATCAGTCATTCAAAAGGAAAGCCTAATTGAATATTGAGATTCTTTTTCAGGAGGGTCTACATAGTAATGCTTCGCCAATCCCATATTTGAGCAGCTTGCAATTAGGATGAATACCAGAGAAAACAAACACCATAAGAGGGACTATGAAGAGATCAGCAATTCACTTATTCCATTGCCATCTACCGGCCACCTTGCAGCCTTAATCTGATCTACTCTCCGATTACTGTTGTGATTTTAACGTTCTCACGAAATATTTTGGTGGCTCATGCAGTCACCTTTTCCTGGATCATATGCTTGCGCTGCTGCCGCATTCGCCGCACAAGTTGCATCAGGTCAGGCAAGCCCTTGCCAGCCTCCACCTCCTGCACTGCCGCATACGCCAGGCAGAAGGCGCCCGTCCGGCCCACACCCGAGCTGCACACATGACAGTCGCCGACTCAAATCACTTGATCATTTACTTCAGTACCTGATTCACTAAACCCACACAATAAAACAGTCACTCAATGACTAAATCAGGCACTCATTCTGACACAACGGTGCATTCGATCAAGTCATCCCCATATGAATTAACTTAATACATTCGCCCGTCGCTCAAACATTAAGGCACTCAAAACGTGGCTCAGCTTAGGATTAAGCTGCTCGGTTTCTTCCAAAGACACACGAGTGGCTCAGCCATGGCTTGGTTCAGGCTCAGCTCAAAGAAATACTGTGCAGCAAGACTGAGACCATAATCAGAGCCACCTGAAGTTAAACATGGCTTTCAGCCAGAGCCAAGCCTAAGCCGAGTTGCAAATAAAAATACGAGCCTAACTCCCTTTTACAAACTGTCAATCAATCAATTACTCAACTAAGTCACTTATTCAGTCAGTAACTTTGTAAATCATTTAGTTACTCAATTATCAGTCATTCGTACACCAAATTATTCGCTCAACAAGTTAGTCACTCAATCTTTAAATGAGTCATTAACTAAACCCCTTAATCGTTCAATCTCTTATTCCATGCCAGATCAGTTAAAATGTATCACTCACGAAATTCTTCAGTCACTCATATAATCAGTCAACCGGTAACCCAGTTTCTAATAAGCAGTGCATAGCGTTTATCGTATCTATGCAATTCACACAGAGGAACTCGTACCTGCAGTGCACAACTATCGGCATGTGCAGAGGCCGCTGGTGGAGGTAGTGGCCGTGCACCTCGGCGATGAAGTTCAGCAGGCTGCTGGTGCTCTCTGGCAGGCCCCTGCAGCATCGTATTGATTGACATAAGCATTGAGCATCGTTGAGGGAAACTATTTAACTTATTGCCCCTTGAGTATGTGACTGACATTCAAATTCATAACTTATGCGAAAAAAAACTATTTACATTTTTCTATCAGTTGAAAATAAAAACTTATCTGGGAATAATAAGAGAACTCACACTAATTTTAACATAGTTTCACGAGCTACGCCACCAATATTGTCCAAAGTGGAGTAAATATTGTAACCATTTTAACTTTCTTTATCACCATAGGATTGCTAATAGTCCTCTATATATCCATCAGGCCTGGTTGCACCATTGCTAACACTTGACTCAAATCAGAAGGTTGCGGAGTTCAAATCTCCGTTGGCCGTAGGGATAAAATTATAATCATAATATAACAATGTAAAACGCACGATACGTGTATCGTGGTTTTAATATCGAAGTATTGACATATTTGCGGCAACCACACTTAATACCCAACAAATGTTACGCTTCTCACCCCGTAGCGATTGCGTGCTTTCAGATGCGCTTCGGCGGCCGTCTGGAACGCTATTCCTTCCGATATTAGGAAGCCACTGGAGCTATGCACTTTTAAATCTAGATTGAAAACGAATTTCTTGAGAACTGATTTTTGTGTTTAGTTTGTTGTCCCCCCCCCCACACATCCGATGAGCATAGTTGGCTACGTACAGTGCAAAATAAGTAAAAAAACACATACATACAGAAACAAGTGAGCGGTACCCCTCCCGCGCCCGTGCAGCACTCACAACTCCGGCCAGCAGTGATAGTGCAGATGCACAACCGTCCGGGTCAAGCTCTGTCCTCGCAGCTTGAGAGCGAACATGCGCTCCGTGTACGACGGCGCCACCTTCTGTGACGTGAGCGACACCATCACGATTCCCTGCGCCATCTGCTGCCCCTTCTCCGTTGGGAAGTAGCGCAACACACGCTGCTGCAGGGTGGGAGATGCGAAGATGAGACATGAATTCCACACCTGCCATCACTGCTCGTGACTCAAAGGCCTGGCATTTAATCCGGTGAAGCAATAGGTTTTTTCAGTGCGCTTGAATAACCATCAGAAGTATCTGAGTTCAAATCCTGGTCAAGGGTTGACTTAGTTCATCATCCCTCTGGGGTCAATAATTTTTGTATTAATTTAGGCAAACTTAACAGTGTTGATTTGGCGCTTTCGTGACTGCAGGAATTACTCTTTGGTTATTTCGGTAAAGTCACGTAGAAAGAGAAAATAATAAATTAAATAATAGCATACAACGTTTCGATTGCAACACAAGCAATCGTCATCAGGTACAAATGAAAGAGAAAACAAAACCTAGTAAACTTAGAAATATAATGCAATACAACACAGATAGTCGGCTAACATTAACAGTCAACAATCCTACCTGGTTGATTACATTCTTCCAAAGATTGCTAAATTTAAGAGAGAGATTAATTTGTATTGCATTACATTTCTAAGTTTACTAGGTTTTGTTTTCTCTTTCATTTGTACCTGATGACGATTGCTTGTGTTGCAATCGAAACGTTGTATGCTATTATTTAATTTATTATTTTCTCTTTCTACGTGACTTTACCAAGAGAACCGAAGAGAAACTTAACAGTGACCATGCACTAAAAAGAATGATAACCACCATAGGCATAAGCATAGTTTCACCACTGGATCAGAAGAGCACTGCCTCATGCTCACCTGAGCAGACAATGCTTTTCTGTGTAAAAATTTACCTTTACAGTGTATATGAATACATTTATTCATCAAGGACTATCAAACTGCTATTTTTGTATGCAATTGCAGTCATCCATTTTAAAAGACGTCAATTCTCAGCATAAGGTTAAAGAGCTGATGAAATGTTTTTCATCGAGAAATAGGTTTTCACGTCAGCAATGATCATCATCACTCAATATTATCAGAGCTATTACCATCACAATCATCACCACCGCTACTGACAACACACTCATTCTCACTGCCACTAACAAGATAACCATTACACAGCACGAAACAATCCGTCTATTTGTTCGATCTCATGTACCACGTTAAACAGTATGCATCTCTCCAGTTGCTAAAACTTCCCAATTGCTTTTGTGCACGTGCACTGGGCAGGCACTGACCTTCTCCAGCTCTGGCTCCGACACCAGCATGACGATGATTGCGATCTTCTGCTCGTACACCATGAGCCAGAAATCAGCTGCAGTGGTCGCCAGCGGTGCTTGCGTGGCGATGATGCGGGGACAGTAGGCAGACAGCTCCTCAATCATGCTGGCGTTTATGTAGTCATCCTTGCCGGACGCCAGCACAACGCGGTTCTTGTCAAAGGGCATGAAATCAGGGTTCCGGTTTTTCATGGTGTAGCACCTGGCGATGGAGATGGAGAACGACCGCACATCCTTCTCCTGCAACTCTTGCAGCTCCTTCCACTTGCGTTCGAGCAGCGTGATACCACCGCCATCCGGAAGGCTTTCCATCGATTCCACCATCGCCTTGAATCTCTCCGTCTCCTTCACCAGTCTCCGCAACAGATCTTGCTGCACAAATGGATCCCTCTCAATGATCTTCACCCCTTTGGCCACCATGTCAGCTCTGGTGGGCTGCAGCAGCGGCTGGGAGTTGCGTGTCTGCAGGCTCGACTGCTGCCCATCAAATGAGGTGGAGAGCAGGTCATCCGTGGCCGAGCTCTGCCGCTGATAGGGGCCGTGTGAACCAGCACCAGAAATCTGGATAGAGGAGCTGCCGGTGCCACTGCTACCACCACCACCTGCACCGGACAAAGCTGTCGTTGAACCCGGCAATGCTGGCCTCGTGTTGGGAGAAGAGGGGGCGGCGTGTGAGGGCGCAGTATGAGATGTTATTCCTGCAGATTGCTGGGAGGTGCCCAACGGCTGGGGCAAGTTGGCAGGGGGTGGTGTGGTACTGGGGAGGGGAACACCGCTCACCGGCGGTAGAGGTGCGGTGGTGGCCGTCGATGGGACTATACCACCCAGCGGTGGAGGAGTGGGCGTGGGAGCAGGATGGAGCGTTCCAATGGGTGGTGGGGTTGGGGTGGGTGCTGGGTGAACCATGCCGCCGGCTGGTGAGGAAGGCACTGGCGTCGGCCGTAATACGGCCCCAGGGGCCGGAGGGAATGCTTGAAGCTGTGCGTTGCTGGTGGGAGGTGTAGGGGTTAGAGTGGGGTGAATTATCCCCCCCGTGACTTGACTCTGTGCTGCATGTGGCATAACCCCTGGCTGTGTGGGGGCATGCTGGCATGTACCAGTGGACGGCATCAAGGGGGAAATTCCAGAAGATAGGGTCACTTGCGTGGGGTGGATAGAGCCGGGGTAAAACACAGGCTGAGCAGTTTGGGATGAAGACACCGGGATTGGTGGATTAATTTGATGTTGGAGAGGATGGGCGTTCGAGGGCTGTGCATGAGGCATGTTGAATTGTCCGCCCTGCGGATTGTGCATGCTGGGTTGTACGTGCTGGTACGTGGTTGGCCCTTGCTGACCCTGCTGAACCGCAGGGCCCAGGTACGTGTGGCCCTGCTGGAAGTTGCCACCGCTAGGAGCTGCTTGATGCTGCGGTGCATAGCTGCCCATAGGCAGGGTCCCTGGTGCCACGTGCGGTGGGAGAGGACCGGCTGGATGAATTGCACGCGCATCAGTTGGGTTCACCTGCCCTGTGCCCGGTTGAGCGACAGTGTATGGATACGGCTGGGAGCCAGCGCTAAGAGCAGCTGGGCGAGGTTGAGCATGTGCTTCATGCTGGGGAGCGACCATGCAATGTGGTGCTGGTCCCAGAACTTGGTATGGATCGGTTCCAGGCAAAGGTGCACTTCCTCTAAACTGACCCGGAAGCGGAGTGCCGTGCCCATACTGCACCAGCTGTGGCTGTGAGGACACGTGCAGGGGCGACTGCATGTATGGCGCATGTGCCCCATGCGCCATGTGGGCTTCTGCTGGCGTCGCCTGCCGGTAGCCACCCTGTCCTGGTGTCGGTTGCTGCTGCGGGAGCGGGTGATGCTGATTGTGGGGTGCACTAGGGTAACCACCCTGTGGAGGACCTGTGTACTGTGGGTGCCGCACAGCATCTTGGTACGGTGGAGGTACGTGGTAGGGGTAGGCTGGCAGGCGAGCAGGAGGCTGCATGGGGCCGTGTTGATAGGGCACGGAAGTAGCCGGGGCAAAGCCCCCGCCTGCGAGGCTCGTGGGCAGCGAGGACTGACCACCGGCAGCCACAGGGGGAGCTTGGGGGCCGGCATAGGGGGATGCGAAGGGGGGCACCGAAGGCAGGGACCCAGAGGAACCCATAGTTGGGTGGGGCCCATTGTCATATCTGGGCCCGGCAAAATGCTGGGGTGTCCCCGGGTGTAAAGGCTGTGCATATCCAGGGGAGAAAGCCATCTGTGGACCAGAGGCTGCAGCTGGATATGTTGGCAGGTTCGGGGATGGGGCTGAGGGTCGCTGTTGCGCCCTATCCCTGGGTCCCGGGACTTGAGGTGTGTGACGAGGCGATGTGTGGTGGAATGGCGGGTGTGCATAGTTGGCGTAACGGTGGGCTGAGTTAAGCCGAGGCAGTGAAGCCTCCTCCAGGGCCGTGTCGGCCATTATTAACCGCAGCACATCTGGTGGCAGGCTCTTCAGGTCCTCCGGGAGGTCGGACATATCGATATCCCCCCCGGTGTCGGGAGGAATGCCAAAGTCAGGTTTGTCTGGCTCTCTCATGGGAGGCTTAGGGGCTGTAGGGCGAGGAGGTGGCTTCTTTTTACTTTCCCTGAGAAACAAGACATGAATGCAAGTTATAATTCTCAAAATCATACATTACATTCACCATTATCATCACTACATGTTGTCTATTGAAACCCCAAGTCAACCTTCATTCTTGCAGAAGGTGACTCCACCGCTGCTGCCCAAATTTTCTGGAATTACAACCCATCAGTGATCTGCAGTGTAAATCCCTCTGTCCAACTCCTCTGCCAATAGTTGTCTATGTTTCCCCATAATACACATCTAATCATATTGGACAGCATCTTGAAATGTAGTTACAATTAGACTATATGTACATTTTACTTGCATTTTATTATTTTCACTTGTGATAATGCAGATCAATTCGTATTTTCTTATGTCGCTATTCATTAAACAAACATTACTACTGGATGCATATAAAAAATATCAATACTTATTCATGTCGCCAGGATACAGGTCATTAGATGCAGAGCAAGCCTCCCATTTGTATGAGATTGAGTGGATAAGTTATAACTCTTACATGTGTAATTGAGGCAGCCTCCTTGCTCAGGGGGGCAAATCCCTTTGCATCCAAGTTGGAGAAGAGTTATGTAGCAACAATTGTTACCGAATGACTTCAATCGTTACACAAGAACCTATATAAAACTAAAGCTTCAAATTCGATAAAAAAAAAAACTCAGTTTTCTGCATATTTTCGCACTTTTCCATTCAACAAGTCCACCAACCTTTCCAAGATCTTCTGCCTCTCTTCGTCCTGCACACGGCACACGGACTTGGCACGCTGTAAAAGCTTGGTCACTTTCCCCTCCAGGTCCTTGTAAAAGTGAATTCCTTCCTCTGACTTCTTTATCAAGTCCTCATAGGCATCGTACGATGACACCAGCGCCTGCACTGCATTATTCCATCTGTAAAGTACCGTGAATTATAATCAGAAGTGTATTTGCCAAGTAAAGCCCATTGGGTTAAGGTGCTCATTTTCAAGGGAAATTGGGTTGGCATACAATAAAGCATTCCAAAATTACAGATGAAAAAAATTACAAATAAACTTCATAGCAATTATGTTGTAAAATTACATTCACAATTAAACTTGAATGATTTTAATAGTTTAAATGAGGGCAGAGATGGTAAAATGGAGATGTCAAGAGACACAACTCAGTGGTTCCAAAACTTTGGGGCAGCTACATTAAATGTCTGTGATCCAAACTGTGTGTGAAATCTAGGCACTATTAAGAGAAGCAGACACGTGTTGCAGATTTTTTGGATCATCTAATGGTAATAACAGGTGAGACAAATAAAGAAATATATGGACAAGAACCTTGTACATCTTATTATTTGGCTGATGTAGATTCACAGCAACAATTACAATTTTACATTCAGGTGGTTAAGCCAGACAATGGCATCAGAAGCAGCGGAGTGTATCGCTTTGATGTCTCCTTCGTATCTGTGGATTGGGCATTGCATCATTATATGTTGTATGGTCTGTTCTGGATGACCAGTCGTACACTGAAAAGTTTATATTTTTGCACTTGTACATCAAGTATTCGCATCTGCCATGGTTTGTGTGGATGCAGTTTAGGGTAGACCATGAACTTCATGAAAGATCAAACCCATGGATCTTCTGCGTTGGGTCTTTCACAAAGTATTTGCGAGTTATTTTGAATGCTATTCAGCTCTCCAAGCTTCATCGGGGTTGAACCCACATTGTTGAAGGTTACGCGCATGGGTCCAATAAGGATAGTAAATGAAAATAGTCCAGTGAAAATGTATTTTGACGTCTAACAACATTTTCCCAGCCATGGCATGGAGGTCACAGTGATGTATCCCATATATATGGACCATCAATTGCGAATCCTAATGTTAACAAATCACAACCTATCCTTTTAGGTATATATGCAAATAAGGGCCAATTCGAGACGTTTATCTCATTTTCAATAGAACAAAGTCTCCCTTCTTCAAGCAATGACAAGGCACTCGGCCAGTACTGGAAAGTAGTTTAGTTAACTCCGGAGGAATAATGGACTAAGTCGGCTCCTGAATATTCTTTATTGCGAGCCAGAATCCTTAAACATAGATGCCTCCCAGCTGAATAACTGTAATTACTTTAGACGATTAGAATATGTTTCATGTTTTATTTACACTGAACATGTTACACATGCCAAGCATGAACAGTTGCACTCACTTGTCGTCAGCTTCCTCTGATGCTTTCCTGACCAGGGCATACTTGGCGTTGGCATCTGTAAGGGCACGCAAGATATTCTCCTGGGCGCTGAGATTCTGGTCAATGTACACCTTGAGTTGATCGTACTTCTTCATCTCTTTGGTGAACAGCTCCTTAAAGTCAAAATGATACTTGATTAGCCAGATCGACATATGGAAAAGGGTTGGATAGCGAGCAGTTAAGGCCAACATGGTGCATAAAGTGTTATGTCCATACCTACGCCCAGCCATACACATCACTGCAGAGCTCATGTTGACTACACCGTTTATTTTAAGCCATGCCAGCCTTCAAGAGGTTTTTACCAGATGCAGCAAATGCCACTGGTGATGTGCAATGTTTGAAGTTGAAGCTAGGTTTCCAGGATTGTAGTGGTGTTTCTAACCATTGCAACAACAACAACCGCTATTCGCCACTAAGTGGCGGTGACGTCACTATGACGCTTCTGCCAGGCTATGTGCATGTTGAGGCCACGTGAAGTAAACCATTGCACCACCACTCTCACACACAGTTCTAAGGCTATATGGGTGGGTTCTGGTAGAGAACGCCTACTGTGGCCAGCAAAACACATAAGTAGTTGGTATGGCCAGGACTATACCCTACAACACACACTTGTACACAACAGAGCAACGGACAACAAGTTCAGTCTATCTAACAGACGTACTGCATATCACAATCCAACTATAAATCCTTTATGCATGGCTTCTACTCTTTGGCTGCGGAGTGGTCTCTTTACAAGCACAGACGCGTGTAATTATTGGACACCGACTGTGCTGCACTGTCACCCACCCGCACGCTGCCAGGTGCCGCTGTGACGAGCACGCCTGTGATGTCGTCGCCCTGCACCATATCACGAATCTGCTGCTCTAGTGTCGTGCGCTGCTCACGCATCTCCCCCACCTTGCGCAGCATCTTCTTCAGGTTGTCACCTACAGTCTCGTCCGCTGCACCCCACATACACACGAAAAATTCAGCCACAGCATTGTATAGGATTGTGTAGGATTCTTGCTTTATTTATATTGACTCATTGGTAAGCCAGTGGCTGTGTATGTCAGTAAGCTGAGTGCAGAGCTCATCGGTAAGCAGAACATACAAGGATGCCACAGCTGTTGAAAAGTGAGGGCTTATTTGTACTAAGGTCTTTTGATGAAGCAAAGTTCATGGTTAAACCAGGGTTCATTAGTTAGCTGGGGGGTGTGTGTGTGCAGGACTTGCCTGTGGTGGTGGTGGGTATGGGTAGGGCAGCGCGGAGCTGGTCGAGAGGACCGCTCATGAGACGAAGGTTGCTGATGTGTAGGTTCATGGCTTTGCGTAGCTCCATGTTGGTGACGCTCGCCTTTTGGTGTGCCTCCATGTACTTGCCCCACTCCTTGCTCATCTCCTTGATGATGTTGGACAATGGCCTAGGTCCAATAACCTCCTAGAGATGATGGACATAGGAGAGGAGTGTTGAGATTAATTGATACTTTCCGAAGTCAAGTGAAAGTTTCCCTCTGTAAAATAAATATTAAAGCAGCACTCTGTTGGTATCCCTGAGCTTGTGGTGGTAATTTCACCTTCTCATGGCAGAGCTCACTTCCTACACAAGTTGGCCAGATGCTTTTCCACAAAGTGGTACTAATATTATTGACCACAACGAAAATAGACCGAGTCAGCCTCCACCCACAATTTGAAATAACACATTTTTATTACGAGTTACACACTAACCAAATAATACAAATGTACTATCAGACAATCCAAAACACACAATTGTTTAAAAATACATAACAAGCCAATTTAAACACATCCTCGGGAAATATGTATCCAGAGTATGATTTACTGAAAAAGCGGAAATCTTTAGCTGGTACCAGTAGGTACATAGAAACACTGCATAAAATAAACAGAATTTAGGCACATACACGTGATTCAAATTTTTTTACGTAAAGCGCAGCTGTGTCTTCGTACGATTCGCTGTGGTTATAGAGGCTCACGCTGCCCATGTGTACATGGGAAGCCCTAACCTGGCAGATGTTCTCACTCTTCTCGTCCTCCTCAAGCTGATCCTCGATCTCCTTCAGTGAAGCCTCAACGTCTGTGAATACGCTCGACAGTGCTACACACCCAAACACAAAGGTCCTGCAATTAGTCGGATACACCCGAGTGGCAAGGGCTGTTCGTGAGAACCTACGAGAGCTAACATAGGAACTGAGGGAAATGCAATGCCCCACACGGATGGCTACCTTTGTTGCCCTCATTGCTGGCAACGATTCCAGGTACCCATTTAAGGCTTAGTTAATCTTGGGAAGGCCCAGGACAAGTTCAGATAACAATGTTACTGTTGATGTGCATGTTTGGAAATGTAATCCAGGTGATAGTAGTGCAATGACTACTACAAAACAAAAATCCCCTGTATAGTCTTAATAGACTGTTGGGGCAAGTGCTGTTAGCAAGCACCTATTAAGGTTGGCATGGCACATGAGGGGGTGAGTGGCCAACACCATGCCTGGCCGCCTTTGTCTCCTGAGCGACAATGTTTACACACCGCACCAGGTACTCATTTGAGGCCGAGTCGACCTAGGGGAGGCCCAGGACCGGTTCAGATAATCGTCACTGGTGTTGGCTGTGAGCGGGAATCGAACCCGGGTGGACAGGTTCATTGGTAAAAGGCGTGAGAGTATAGGAGTCACAACAACAGATTTTTTTCTGCACTGCCCTCTGCTGCCCGCAACATATCCACACAGCCGATAAAGCACTTTTGGTGCATAGTGGTCACCCATCAAAGCATTCAGACTAAACTCTGCTTCACTTCCGAAATGAAGAAATCAGGTGCATTCTGAGTGATTTGGTCATCGGGCGATATATACACACACACACGTTTATGACTTATAAACAAAGCCATGGGGGGGTGTTTTAGGGCCATGCAAATGAGCTTGCATATTTCCAATATGCTAACATCTACAGAGTGCAGTATAATTGATCAGCGGTTGGATGTAAACCACAGAACGCTGGGTCAGAGTGAGTGTGCTGACCACTTGGCCACCTGGCAGTGGACATGGAGATCACAGTGGTTGGTGGGATGGTTACTCTGCATGGCTTGCACGATGCCCTTGATGGCGTCGGGCCGTACGCTGAGCGCCGCGCACTTCTCCATGAGTGCCTGTGGGATGCGGTCGTATGCCGGGGGGCGCTCCAGCTGTTCCAACTCAATGCCCAGCGAGTCCATGAAATGCCTGCACAACAAACCCGGCTTAGAACAAACCACCGCCTGCCACACCACTGGCTTTAGGAAACTCAGGTTGGGTACTTAAGGTGATCAATACCTCTGCAAAAAACAGTAAAATTGAATAACACTTTTGAAAGGGAGTAATATACAATGTATTTGTGCAAAGATAAATCTGATTTAATAAACAATTTATTTCAGGGCAAATCTAAAATTTGGTATTTAAACAATGATTGCTATACATCTGGCCACTCTTGCAAAAGTTGTGTAAGGATCTGTATAACAAAAGGACAAAAAAGTGACATTAAGTAAAAAGGTAACGTTGCGAAAGTACTTGCTATATTAAGGTGTTCAATATTATGGACGGAATAAAAATTTACAGAAGTTATCTAAGTGCTACTTGAACAGCAGAAATAGCATATCAAAACATTTACTCAGATAGACTGTTAGGGCATGTGCTGTTCATAATAAAGCTTTTTGGGTTAGATCGCGTTATTTATAAATGTGTCGCAACCCTCCACCACCCGACACGGCCAATCAGCACCAATGAATCCCAGCACAGCAAAAAAAGGCATGGTGTGACCATTGCCTTTATATTCCTGGTGAAGATGTTTATACACCACACCAGGGTACCTAAAGCTGAGTAGGCTAAGGGAGGCCTACATATTTAGACAGCATTACTGCTTTCCACTATGATGAACTAAGAACAAACACACTAATCGGAGTGACATAAATCCAGCTCACTGTAGCTCCTTATTCTTTTCTTCAATTTTCTCTCCCACCTCCCGGAGCATCTTGGCCTTCTCCTCACTGTGACACATACAGGAGAGAGAATGTAAATTTACTGCTGCGTTTCTCGTGCCTATGTGTGTGCTTTGCATTCCTGTATGAATATATTAATGTAATGAACAACAAGTGGTACTCGTGTATTTTTGTTCCCGATGATGCTGATATTAAAAGTGATGGTGATGCTAGGGCTTATTATGGTGTTGACGATGCCACTGGTGACAACAGTGCTTGGTCTTTTATTAATAATGATGAACTTCTTTTCGCACCGTACGTAGCCAACCACACAAATCAGAGGTGCGTCATAGCTATGACAGTGGTGGTGGTTACCTGTAGAGAGAGGAATCCTTGTGTGCCTCCATGGGCACGAGACGAGCAAGGATGTCAGGTCCGGTAACACTGGGATCCGTGGGCTGGAAAGGCAGGGCCTTTACAAGTGGTGCGCCTGTTGGTACATGTCATATGCACAAACTGTAACACGCACATTTACACTGCCATTTATTATGGGCCTTAAAATCTGCAGTGTAAAAAAGCAGCTTGCTTTCGTAAATATGCATTTGAACTAGAGGGAGGATACCAACGATGCAAAAAGGTAAGTTTGATCTGCTCGGCTGTAAAGAATATGTTATAGTCTTGAAAAATGTGTTTCTTTGTGCTGGCACCTTAATGCAATTCTAAAAATTATTTTTATTCTCATTTAGTTAGCAAGACACATTTTGAAAAGAATAGTAAAGTACCGACTGTAATGTTGTTGAAATAAAATGTATGGAGATCAGGCTCTTTCTGGCTTATATATCCTCATCAATTTTTTATGTATTGCCATTACTTAATGTACACTTTGTAGAACCCCTTAGCATATAATGACTGAGTTGCACCATGAAATTCATGAAAAATTCAAATTGGTCATTACAGCCTGAAACAGTAATTTGTAAACACAACGTTGGTCCATTGGGCAGCATAAAGATGGAGGCCTAATTTTTGCAATTATTGCTGAAACGAATCAACATCAACTGCCCCACCCTTTATTTTACAATGGGTCTGCTCACCATGGTTCAGTGAAACCATTATGGTGAAACGGTTGGTCAGGTCATCTCACTACCAATAAAAGTAACGGAAGATTGTTACCGCTACCACAGGTTCCATGCCACTGGTAGGGGCATATTATTGTAGGTGTTTTTCTTCAATGGAGTCAAGCAAGAGAGGAATACAATGAGTAACACAATCTTAATTTAATGTCTCAATCCCATTTCTATTATCTTGCATTGAAATGGTAGGCACTTCAATCATACAAACTGAAAATAAATAATATGAATGAAAATTACATACAATATTTATCCATAAGTGTGTTCCATGACAGTAACAAATAAAAGGCTAGTGAATGGGTCAAAAGTAAAAAAAATGAGATTACCTTTTACTGCTGGAAGATTGTCTAAGCTTGGAACGCTTTCATGATAAATAAAATCATTGTCCTTCTTTGCAGAGTTATACCTGAAACAATACGTGCACGTTAAACAAGGCAATAACATTCACGTTCTGCCTTGCTGTCGTGATGGACTGGAATCATAAGACTGCGGCGATAACAAGTGTTCAGATTTGTTTTTCAATGAGCCTGGTAAATTCCATTACCCGAGCAGCATTTCAATGCAACGATGTCATGTAGTGTGCAACATTTTCTGAAAACATGGTTCCCGCTCTTGAGCTCTAGAATGCCAGATACCATGTCTGGCTGCCTTTGTATTCCCAGTACAGGTAGTCCTCGAGTTACGATGGTCCGACTTACGATATTTCCATCTTACGATGGCGATAGCGATACAACAAAATTGCCATCAACAACCTAACATAGTTCAAGCATGCAGACGACGGACAGAATCTTGGTGAGTACAGTACAATATGATACGTTACAATACGTTCAATGCATGTATGATACGTAGCTTTAGCGATTTCATTTTAAGGTTACCACGATACCATTCGTTCAATGCATGTTAAACGTTTTTATAGCAGATAGGAATGTTTCCTGAAAAAAACTTTCTAATAAATTGCAGTTCATATAGGTAGGCTAAGAATTTACCTTGTTTTTTTTACTTTACATTTTACTGTGCAATACAGTATTGTAATTAATAAATACATACAGTATATAGTTTATACAGTACGCTACTGTAAATTGCTCTGTTTTGCTAAATTATCACCATTCTTTAAGACTCCTGGGTAGGCTAAGCTATCTTCGACTTACGATATTTTCGACTTACGATGGGGTCGTTGTAACGCATCTCCATCGTAAGTAGAGGACTACCTGTACTAACATTGACACTCCACCAGGTAATAGTTTTTGGCCAAGTCTTTATAAGTGGAGTTCAAACAATCAACCACTAGGGGCATAGAGAGTTGAGCTTGGAAAGTACTTGGATTGATGGCCACCATGAAAAAGTAGGCTGCTGTGGGGCTATATTGTCATCAAAGGGCAGTGCAGCAAAATCTATTGTTGTACTGTATTATTCCCCAATGGGGAGGGCCCTCATTTAGCAGTGGATTGACAAAAGGAATTAAAAATTACATACTTTCCGCCAACAACGTCCATAGTGAACTGCAGGGCTTCGTTAAATGTTGGGTCTTGCTGGCCCTGTCGAGACGATAACAACACATTGACAATGCAAATGACTTCTATACAAATTCTAAAAACAATAGAATAGGATAGAAATATATGCAATAGCCACAATACATTTTTGCATGCGAGCCATTAAGTGCATCCATTCATGCTGCATTTAACGTTATACTTTTGCAGTTGTTGAAATTAAAATGAGAGAATTGTGCTATTAATGTATAGATTTAAACAGTGCAGCTTGTATTTATTTGGAAATGTCAATTGTCAATTTTAATGCATTTTTCAACAAATATTGTCATAAATCAAAATTATCCCTTTCATAATTTATTTTATCCTATTTTATTTACAGCCTTATGGCAATTAAATACTGTATAAAGGCCCCTCCACTCTGTATTGGTCACGGGGTTGTTTAACCATACTTACCATGTTGGTCTATGCATGCTGGTGATGGGGTACAGTGGTCATGTCCAGTTCAAATATCAGGAACCAGTGAAAATAGCCATGGCTGGAAATGAAACTCCGGTCTAGGGTTCATTACGGAATGCGCTAACCATTGGGGTGATTGATCCCCACTTTATTAACATATAGAGCAAGGTATCAGTCTGATAAAAAAAACTAAACAACATTCCTTTTATACATTTCAGGCCATGTTCATCAACTAACCTTGGCACATTTGACAGCCTCATTCAGCTTATCCAGGGCACTCTGGTAAAATCCAAGCTGCAAAAAACGAAAGCAGGTAATCATGAGACAAACCAATCAATACATTTCACAACAACCAAAGAAGCTGTAGAGATTACAATTAGCAATACAAATATACGTCACGTTATATCACTATGTAACACAATTGTTGTTCCTGGGTACTAAGTGTTATTTTTAATTGGTTTTGCCTAAAAAGTATAGAAAATGGCTATTATTCCCCAAAAACTTTGCTTTTGTGACCAGGACTTTACGTGAACGAAAGACACAAATGCACACCACGTTTTCTCATTGAAAATAGGTAAATTTCAAATGATCACTTTCCTGGTCACAAAAGCAAAGTTTGTGGGAAATAATAGCTATTTTCTGTACTTTTGAGGCATAAGCAATTAGGAAATAACACTACCCAGTGAAACATATTTTTTTGTTACAAAGTGAATTATTCACAAACACAATTAGATAAACATATGAACAATATATTAAAATGATTAGCAAACACACAGTTGTCATTTCCAGTACATTGTAGGCAACAATACTGATAATATTTACCCGCTCTCCGTACTTCTGCTGTTCATCTGCCTGCTTCCCCATGTACAGCTGCGAACATTCACAAGTGAAACATTGTTTTAGGCCCAACAATGAAGCACGCTTTCATTAAGAAGCACAAACCTACATGCAATGTCACACAATACACAAGAACCCCCAAAAATGTACAAGTGGGCACGTACATTGGCTATGCAGCTAAAGTATGAGATCTTGACTTGGATCTGTTTCTTCCACTCCTTCTGTTCTCGGCCAAGGAGGGAGGAAACCTCATGGTTCTCCAGAAAATGATACGCCTCCTTGTAGTACTCTGCCACCTGTAAATGATCAAAGACAAAGAAGACAAATATGCAGCTTGAGCAATGAGAACTTGGAAAAACTGTGCTACATGAATGTTGAATTGATTAAAGACCATGCTTAAAATCAATACTCATATCGAAGTAGCTATACCCGTCAAGAACCAACTCTGGAACTGGGCAATTTGGCTATTGTACTCAGCAAGACCTTTGTAAAGATATTCCTGAGTTGTGAACAGACAAATGTCAGGGTTATTTGAAGAGCTGTGTTTGCGTGGCTGAATTAAGCACAGTCACTACATTTTATATGAGACTGCATTGCAATAGTTGATGACCAGGTCCAGATGTATTGATCCTGGTTATAAATACGAACCTCTATCCTCAAAAGAGTTGCTACGTTTATGTTGTAGGCAGAACTATGTCGTAGGCATTGGCTCAGAGCCACCCAGCCACCTTCACGATATGCATAAGCTGTATACCTGTGCACTGATGCGAGCAATGAGGAAGCTCTTGCGGTTGTCCAGCATGGACTTCTCCAGCAAACACTCCTGCGCCTGCCCCTGTGCAGACCACACGACGCAAACAATGCACAGCAGATGCCTTCGCCAATTATTGCTTTATGAGACGTGTTTATACAAAATATACACTCCGTGAAGAAAGGTAGCAATAAAAAAAAATAGAAATCTTCAATGTATGAAACTCTATTTATGCAAGTATAATGCTACCACACAAGCTTAATGACAATGACGTTACATTAATATAATTAATTGAAGTGCCTTTTGTAAAAAAAAAAAATCAGAGACAAGTGATTAATGAGTTCAAGAATACTGATATCCAATAGCAGCCATTACCCACTTTACTATGATTCCAATGCCATTTACATGTGCCACAAAAGGTGCACTATAATTCACTCTAAATCTGTGCTAAATTAACACACATTCAGCACACAATACAAATGCAGTTTCCACACAATGTTATGCAAAACGTGCAAAAGTTCCCATTTACGACTCGGTGAATTTTTTTCCAAATGTTTCAGTTGTTTTTATCAAGATCTGAATCCATCCCACATTGTAAAGAGATTATTTCTGGTTGAGATGCTTTGGCCAAACAGTGCCATGTGCCTCACCAGCATGAGGGTGATGTAAAGGTTGAGAATTCCC